TAGCCTATATATATCTTGTATTTAGGTTAAATCATATTTTTAGTATTTAATTGAATTGTGTAGTATCAATGAAACCCTAGCCTCCTCTTTTTTTTTAATTATTTCTTTGGATTGTTACAGGTATCAGAGCAAAAATCATGGGACGAGGCTTAATATTAAACATAGCTTGCGCGGATCCAACTTTAGTTTCGGAGAGGGTATTCATTTAGTTTGGCAATCTGGTATTTCGTTGGTAATCGTTCAATTTTGGCAATTGGTATTTCGTTGGTAATCGTTCAATTTTGGCAATCTGGTATTTCGTTGGTATTCGTTCAATTTCGACAATTGGTATTTCGTTTTCCTTTCTTTTGCATTCTGGTTTTCTTGTTGTTGAATATGGCTACTGAAAGAGACGATTCGCTTCAGTCTGTAAGTGTGAGGTTAGTGAAAGAATTATTCGTATTGGGTTATATGTGATGAGAAATTTCTTAAGGGTTAAAAAGATGTAAGGATATGTTAGTGGAACTTCTGTGAAACCTAAGAATACTGATGAGAGTTATGTGGTGATAGATGCCGGGAAGCAAACAATGCAAAAATTATTACTTGGTATTAACAATTCTGTTGGGCATTCCCTAGGTACACAATTAGCGAAGTATGAGACAGCAAAGGAGGTTTGGGATCATCTACAAAGGTTATTTACTCAGTCAAATTTTGCAAAGCAGTATCAATTGGAGAATAACATACGAGCTCTTCAGTAGAAGAATATGAGTGTTCATGAGTTTTATTTGCTATGACAGATCTTTGGGATCAATTAGCTCTTACAGAATCTGCAGAATTAAAGGATGTAGTGCCTATATTGCTCATAGGGAGCAGCAACGGTTGGTACAATTTTTAACGGCACTCGCATTGATTTGAAGGACTTAGAGGTTCAATTTTGCATCGTTCTCCAATGCCTTTGTGACCAGTTGTCAGTGAGTTATTGGCTGAAGAAATACGTCTTAGTCTCATTCTGAAAAGGGAATTCTTTCCGATTTACTTCTAATCCTTCTGTGTTAGCAGTACCTTCAAAGCTAGTCTTAATAATCAGAATAAACCTTACACAAGGGTTGCCTTCGACGAGTGCAGTTTCTGTAAGCAAAAAGGGATTGGAAGGCTTAGTGTCCTAAGTTGAGGTAGCAGAATCAATGTAGCAGCAATCTCAAGCTTGGAAGCTTGGCAACCAGTCACAAATCATGCTTATAGACCACCTCAGGGTTACAAACCACCACAGTCTAATACTGCAAACAGTAGTTTCATCAGGCCTTCACGATCCTAGTACTTTGGCTGAGCAATTCAGAAGTTTCTCTCCTTACAGCCACAAGCTATTTCTGCTCTTCTTCCGTAGGTCAGTTACCTCATAATCTTCAGGTATGTCACATTCTGTATGGGTTTGGATTCTGGTGCTTCACATCATAGTCTCCAAATTCTCATCTTTGCTTCTGTGTCTCCTTCGTCTTCTATTTCTCATGTTGTTGATGGACCTATGCCTTTAGCAGGTGTTGGTTCTGTTGTCACACCTCACTTGTCTCTCTCTAATGTTATCATATTCCAAAACTTACATTAAATCTTGCTTCTGTTGGTCAGTTATGTGATTCTGGTAATAGTCACTTGTTTCCTCTTTCTTGTTATTTGCAGGATCTACAGTCTCAGAAGCTGATTGGGACAGGCCGTAGGAAGGGGGGCTATATATTTGGATGAGTTAAAAATGCTAGTGCTACTGCTACTAGTGCTGATGCTACCGCTATAGTGTGATTGTCTTCTTTCGTTTGAGTCCTTTCATAGTTTTATTATGGCATTCTCGTTTAGGTCATGTTTCGTCTCGTTTGAGATTTTTGGCATCCACAGGGGCTTAGGAAATTTGCAAACTTGTGATATTTCTGATGTAGTGGATGTAAACTGGCAAAATTTTCAGCTTTACCTTTTAATTGAAGTATTTCTGTTTCTCTTCTCATTTGATTTGATTCATTCTAACGTATGGGGACCTTCTCCTGTTGCCACAAAAGGAGGGTCTTGATATTATGTTCTTTTATTGATGATCATACTGTTATTGTGGGTTTATTAATGAAACATCGTTATGAATCTTTGAGATATAACAGCCTTTCGAGCTCTTGTCAAAACTCAACATTTTGATATATCAAATGTTTAGGTGTGATTTGGGGGGGGAATACACCTTAATAAATTTGTGAGCTGCTTGCATTAGATGGAACTGTTCACCAGACCCGTGTACAGATACTCCTGAGCAAAATGGTGTGCTGAAAGAAAACATAGGCACATTGTTGAAACTGCTCGTTCTCTCTTATTGTCTGCCTCTGTTCTAGTGTGTTTTGGGGTGAAGTATATTTACTGCTGTAGGTTTGATTAATACAATTCCTCTTTCATATTTTAGGTTTTTCTCCTTTCGAAAAGTTGTATGAGTATGCCCCTGATTATTCTTCCTTTAATTTTTTGGTTGTACTGTGTTCATTCTTCGTCCTCATGTAGAACGCAGCAAGTTGTCCTCTCGATCTGCTATTTGTGTCTTCTTGGTTATGGTGAAGGAAAAAAGGGTATCGTTGTTTTGATCCAATAACTCAGAAACTTATGCGTCTCGTCATGTTGTTTTTCTTGAGCATATACCTTTCTTTTCTATTCCATCCACTACTCATACCTTGACTAGATCTGATATAATTCATATAGATCATTTTTGAGGATTCTGATAGTTGTTCATCTCAGGTTCCTAGTACGATCATTCTGCAGGTACTGACATTTTACTCTCCAGCACAACCTGAAGCTCTCTCTTTCCTATGGTCACTCAAGCTTCGTCTGAGATTGTGGATCCACCTCTACTTCAATCCATACGCATTCGTAAGTCCACAAAGTTACCAGATTTTGCTTATTCTTGTTATTCTTAATCTTTTGCTTCTTTTTTAGCTATATCATTGTCTCTCTGAGCCCTCTTCCTATAAAGAGGCAATTCTGATCCTTTTGGCAGCAGCTATGGATGAGGAACTTTCTGCTTTGCATAAGACAGGTACTTGGGATTTGGTTCCTCTACCTCCTGGTAAGACTGTTGTTGGTTGTCGTGGGGGTATAGATCAAGACTAATTCTGATGGATCTATTGAGCGATACAAAGCTAGGTTGGTTGCAAAAGGTACTTTCACAAGTATGGTATGGATTATAAGGAGACATTTGCTCCTGTTGCAAAAATGACTACTATTCGTACTTCTATTGCAGTAGCTTCGGTTCGTCAGTGGACTATCTCTCAACTGATGTTAAAATGCCCTTCTGATGGAGATCTTCAGAAGAAGTTTATATGGCGCCCCTCTGGTGTTTCAATGATTCTGGGTATGTTTGCAAGCGAAGAAAGCTTATTGGTTTAACAAGCACTCGTGTTGGTTTGAGAAATTTTTCTATGTGATCTCTTCTCTTGGATTTGCTTTAGTAGTATGATTGCTCTTTTGTTAAGTGCACTGATGCAGATCGTATCATTTGTCTTTATATGTTGATGATATGATTATTACTGGTGATGATATTGATGATATTTCAGTTTTGAAGACAGAGTTCGAATCACAGTTTGAAATGAAGGATTTGGGTTCTCTACGATATTTCTAGGTATGAGGTAGCACTTCACATAGAGGTTATCTTCTCTCGGCGAAAATGTTGCAGATATTCTTAGCAGGCTAGACTTACTGATAATAAGAAGTCGATACTCCGATTGAGGTTAATGCAAAGTATTCTCTTGATGGGACCTTTGTCAGATCCTATTTATACCGTACTGTTGTTGGGAGTTGGTATATCTCATATACTCGTCCAGATATTGCATAGTGCTGTCATGTTGTTAGTCAGGTTGTTGCTTCTCCTACTTCAGTTCATTGGGCAGCTATCTTCGTATGTGTGTATCTTCGGGGTACAGTCTTTCAGAGTCTTTTACTTCCATCCACCTCTCCTTGGAGCTGCGTGCATACTTTGATGCTGATCATGGCAGTGATCCCACGGATCGCAAGTCTGTACTGGTTTCTGTATCTTTTTGGGTGATTTCTTATTTCTTGGAAAAGCAAGAAACAATCCATGTTTCTCAATCTTCAACCAAAGCAGAATATCGTGCTATGGCATCTACTACAAAGAGATTGTTTGGTACGTTGGTTACTGCAGATATGGGCGTTCCTTTTTCTCATCCCACTCTATGTATTGTGACAACCAGAGTTCTATTCAGATTGCTAACAACTCGGTTTTCATGAACGAACTAAGCACATTGAGATCAATTGTTCAAACTACCTCTCACATCTCAGAGCATGGCACCATTACCTTGCCCTTTGTTTCTTCTTCTTTGCAGATTGCAGATTTCTTTACAAAGTCGCATTCTATTTCCCGTTTTCGTTTTCTAGTTGGCAAACTCTCGATGCTTGTATCCGCCGCATTGTGAGTTTGAGGGGAGATGTTAAGAAATATGGGTTATTTTGTTTTATTGTTTATTAAGGGTAGATCTATCTTTTCATTATTTCCTTTGTTTAGCCTATATATATCTTTGTATTTAGGTTAAATCATACTTTTAGTATTCAATTGAATTGTGCAGTATCAATGAAACCATAGCCTCCTCTTTTTTATTATTATTTCTTTGTTCTTTAGATTGTTTAACACAAAGATCTTCATACAAAGTGATATAGCAAAAAATGAATGAAATAGTGAATTTAATGAGTTTAACTTTTTCATTCATTTTTTGTCACCTCACTTTGTATGTAATTCTTTGTAAGATTTCTTTGTAAGTATAGTATTATTGTTCCGCAAATTCATCTAACTTCTGCCAATAATAATACTCAAATCTTTCTAACTCTTGTATATTTTATCAATGGCAGATTTCCAAAGATCTTCCATCATTCAAAATCCACATGTTTAATTACATAAGTTTTATCCATAATTAAACTTGGCACAAATGCCTATTTTACCCACAACTAATGACCAAAAGCATTCCACATTCTGGAATGAATATTCAAGTAATAAGTTGTTACAAATTTGAGCAATTTTTGGCAACCCGGATTATGACTAACTTCATAAACCAACATTAAACAGTCATGACAGACAAAAATCACATTATTTGTCCAATAACCACAAAAACAACAATCAAATTCCCAAACACCATCAATTTTATGAATCAAAATATTGAAACTTCAAAAGAAATTTTCATCGAACACAAAAACTTTACTAGATAGTGCACACATGATTGCAGTAAGATATAATAAATAGCAATAAATGTAGAGAAAACAGAAGAAAATGGTTGAACCTTGTCTTTCAAAGCATTTCTGTTTTGTTCCTGCCGCTTCAAATTAGTCAGTTTAATCCTGAAGTCATCAGAATGAACCTGATCCCTCTGTTGCTTACTTTGGTTCAGTCCTGAAAAGCTTTCCCTTCCTAAATGAGCAATTGGCCTTGATTACAATGAAACTAAAATCTAACAAGGTAAGTAGGAGATTTATGAGCAATGGTAAATAAGTTACTACCTGAGCAAGAGAATGGTGAAACTTCTGGAGTGAAGCTACATGATGCCTGCTGTATACTGGAGCAAGATTGATCCTACACAGACCAAGAATCTCACATTACAATCAGACAATAAGAATGATGAACTTATTGTGGTTTCTTGATCTTTCTTTTGTGCTGTTTTTTAATCAAAGTCTGAAGCTTCAAATCCTGATGACAAGTAGGATGGGGGCATTCTTTTTAAATATTTATAGGGACAAAATATTGGATTAAGACGGCAAAATGTATAGATAAAGTGCCAAACTTTTGTTCCGGTCATTTCTGATTTGACCTTCAACAGACTGAAGCAGGCCTTCCAAATAGCATATAAATTAATAAATTTTTTTAAAAAATCCAACCAACAGTTGTATATGAGACAGAAGAACCTCAATAAGATTAGAATTCCCATAACAACATATTAACATCAAAGAAGCTGTTCTCACTTCTTGTTGACCCCAACCAGCCACAGAAAGTTTCATTCGCACTTCTTCACTAGGGAACTTGACTTGTGGCTCAGTTGGATTCAGTTCTGAATAGCTTTCACTGCCTGAATGAAAAGGACTTATTTGGGACTCAACAAAGAATGATGTAGAAATGACAGTCATTAAAATTAAAAACACCTGAAGGTGACAACGCTGAGATATTTCCGGCAAAGGTATCAGGTGATTGCTTTAAAGAAGAATCAGATGCATCTTGGTCATGGAAATAGAATTCGATATGCAATTACCAACGAAGGATTGAGTAACATTCTTGGATTGTAAACTCGGAAAAAGAGTGGTCCGTGTAGCTCTTAAGCTCTTCAAGAGTTCTGCAACTTTCTCAGAATGTTGAGTGTCAATAAATGAAAAATGTCGAACAATTTGGGCAATATGCTTGGGTGCTGGATTATCCCTGGAGCATTCTCTTGACGTCACGGATATTGCAAGATCGTGCATAAGGTCATGCATTTTAAAGGTCAGGCAATAACCATTATCTTCAATATCCTGAAAGAAACACCTTGAAAATAACTCCTTCAAGTACCGCAACCCAACATCTTCCAGCTCTTCGTTTTCATTAGGGGATGCAAGATAACCGAGCGCCATCCAGTAATGAACCTGATAATTACTGTCAAAACGGTAACCCTTTGGAAACAATGAACAATAAGCAAAACACCGTTGCAAGTGACATGGCAGATGATCATAACATAGTTTCAAGGACGGTAGGATGTCACCTTTCCCTTGTTCTAGTAGCCTCAATCTGTCAGAATCTTTTATCAACAACCAATCATGTTTATACGTATTCTGATAAAGCACACTCCCTAAAGTTCTCACTACCAAAGGAATCCCTCCACAATTTCTCACAATTTCGTCTCCAATTTTAACGAGGTTTGGATAATTTTTCTCCACCCCTTCTCTAAACGCCCATTTCACAAACAACGACATAGAATCCTCATGGGAAAGACCTTTCAAGACATACGCAGGAACAGAGCCCATTGTCGAGGCAACTTGGTTACTACATGTAGTAACCATAATTTTACTTCCACTAGCACAATCCAACAATAATTCCCTCAAATCATTCCAATTAACATGACTTTCAGACCGTACATCATCTAAGACAAGAAAAAACTTCTTCCCATTTGCAGAAGTGGACACTTCTTTCATCAATTTACTGACGTCGAAGTCATCAGATACACACACCCACATCCTTAGTTCGAAGTGTTTATCCACCCTTCCGTCATTATACACCATTTTCGCAAGTGTACTCTTTCCGATACCTCGGATTCCAACTACAGGAATGACCGAGAAACTTTCAACCGGATCACATGGTTGCATCAAAAGGTTTACCATGTTTTCTTTATCACCCTCCCTACCAAGAACATCATTGGCATTGTCAAACGAGTTCCTTGAAAAGACTCGTCTAACGTCAGTACGCTCGTTAAGATTAAATTTAGACACACTAGCTTCAATCTCATCTAGTCTCTTCCTAATCTCCTTGATTTTAGGACTCAATTTGGACTGAAAGCTTGAGAAGAAGGAGCTTACCTTTGGCTTCTCCACTTGCCTCCTCGAAGCTTCGTACTCGAATTCATCCAACACGTCCTCCGCATCGTAAAGGACGTATTTGAGCTTCCAGAGCCAGAAACGGAGCTCGTGGTTATGCGTTTGTTGTTCCTCGGCATCCAAAAGCACAGCTTTGATGGTGGACAAGGTTGCTTCTAGCTTTCTCAAATCGGGTTCGAGAGTACCCGAAGACGAGCTATGTTCTTTGGAGGCAAGGGAGCTTAACTTGATCAAAAGGTTCGTTGATAAGCTGAATAGAAACGATTCCGCCATGGTGAGATGAAGCAAAACAGAGGGAGATCTGAGCTAGCTGATATTTCTAAAGGAGTGTTACGTCAATGTTTAAGTTATGTAATGGAGAAAGAAAAATTCAATTTCAACCCCTATCTATGATATAGAAACAGCACACCCTCTTATTTTCAGAACCTAACAGTATTTCCCCTTCTTCTGTTAACTTTAGGTGGCTTTCATTATTGTACTTAGTGTTTTTGTGTTAAATAATGAAATTCGAAACAAGAAGTTTGATTTTGTATTTTCAAAAATTATAAATTCATTCTTACCATTTTCTAAAATATTTATTTAGAAATTTGAAAAAAAATGAAAACTTTGAAATATTGTGCTAAAGTACATAATTAATAAAAAAAAACCAATATTTTTTGTTTCCTATATTTTTAAGTATTTTCATTATCCATAAATTTCTTCTTTTTCATGTTTTCTGTTTTAGAAAGCGTATATGATAAAAAAATGAAACGATAATGAACATGACCTAAACTTCTAACACTCCTAAAACTATTGCTCCTAATATTCAAAATTAGACGTTAAAATTAAAAAATAAGGGATGAAATTTTTAAATTTTGACTCCCAATTTTCAAAATTGGACGCTAAATTAACATCAACAAAAGGGTGATATTGTTAGTTTTTGAAACTAGAGGGGTCAGATTGACTATAGATAAGGGGGTGAGGAAAGTTCCTCCAAAGTTGACGCTGAATATTGAACGTTGAATAAGAGATAATACGAGTTGAAATTTAGAATGAGGATCTGTGGAAAAGTCAACATTTACTGGCTACAATAACCTCATTGCGGGCATATTAGTCAAAGTATTTATTTATCTATTACGTCTCTCACATCACATGCTTCAAATAATTCGGTGGTCTCTAGAGTCTAGAATTCCTCTTCACACCTTATTTTCTTGTCATCTTTTCAATTTATTAAATCATAGATTTTGAAGAAATTTATTATTCATTTTCTAGAAGTTTTATTATTGTTTGTGTGAAACTAATTTTTTTTTTTTTTTCTGGTGATCGGGAGTGTCCGGGCGAACTTGCGCGATCTCAACTAATCACCCAAGGCCCTGAAGTTGACGACTGGGTAAGCTTCTCAATGGTCACCCCTATTAGGGCTTATGGGGACTCGAACTCATGAGCTTATGAAATCTTATTTTGCTATTTTACCATAAAGACATCAAGTGGTGGTTAAAAAAAAAAAAAAAAAAAAAAAAAAAAATTCCAATAATCAAGCCTTTCATGACTTTTATTATAGTGCTTGAATCTTGATATTCAAACGACATTAGATGATATGAGGGGAAAGATTCAAGATGATAGTGTCTGAACCCCAATATTCGAGTAATGTCTGAGTATTATTTAATGTATTGTGTTTAAGCTTATATACAAGGAGAATTTTGTTAGAAAATTAAAAGAAATTATAGAGTTCCTTCTTAAGTTCGAAGCTTAGAGTCACCTATCACATTTATAGCTTACCTTATAACATTAGGTTTGTATGGTATTTAATAAACCTCAGAGAGTAATCGATGTGCGTGTAAACTGACCCTGACACCCCTTCATTAAAAAAGAAAAAAAAAATTATAGAGTTCAAAAACTTTTAAAAAGAGATTACTTTTAAAATGGGGGTCATTTAATATAATTTCACAAAAAATAAAGGTTATTTTGGGGATTATAAAGTGTCAATAGTGAAAATATTATACTACGTTTGAAAAGGCGTGTGATAGAATACGAATCGAATTTTAATTCTGGGAATAGAAATTATATGTTTTTACAGCAATTTTTTAATTTAATTAATTAATTAATTTTAAACTATTAAATCAAGACCAAGACTTACAGAAAGTCCAATATTTTGATAAATAGATTAGAAAATTAATTGCAAAAAGTTGAAATAAAAGTGTGAAATCTAGAAATCAATCAGATAATTAATTACTCATCTTCTAGAATAATTTGGTCATTGGTTAACTGATATGTTTATCTATGTGTAAACATTATAATATAATTAATTAGATGAGATAAGTGTGTTATTTTCTATAATCAATGTTCGTGTCAACACATAAACAATCACCTCAGTTGGGACCGAAAACATTTATCAGGTACACTAGTGACTTTACTTTGACCATAAACATTAACCCAATAAGATTTGCTAAAAAGAAGTATAATAATTAAATAATTAAATCCTGCCTAGAACAGGCAATTTGCTCTCTTTTGAATCTTATGATATAATAGTTTCGGTCAATGTTTTAAAACCCAACCCCGGGTGAAAACTGGAAAAGTTGTTGGGTCCTAGGCTGACCAGTTTAATCAGTTTGTTCGGCGGTCAAACTGGTTGACAAAAACTTTTAAATTCAATAAATACACTTCTAAAAATTACAATTAAATCCCTATAGGTTTGAAATTTAGCAAACACACCTCAAATACAAATCGTCTAACGATTGGTTGGCAGCAACGACACCCCAGATGCAACCCCAATAATCCCTTGAGCCCATTCCACTTAAAACATACCCAAGATCTAACCGAAATAGGTTCGATTTTGGCCAAATCTCATCGACATTGGCGTCAGCACTCCAGACCAGATCTCATCGATGCCAACATTGACAACCCTCCCACATCACTCATAAATTACTCCTCTCTTCCTCCCTACCAAAACCACCTCACTCCACTACCGTTAGCCTCGCTAATCACCGGCAAAAGCCGATTGTTGCCGCTGCCAATTTTGTTCGATTTTTGGTCGATTTACTCACCGAAAATCAACTCCGTCGCCACCATTGCATTCGTCAACACTTTCTCTTCAAATGCCCCAACATCCCGGTCATCAATTGTTTACCGATCATCCTCTCAAATCCTAGGGTTTTGAGTGAATAGGAAAAATATAAACCTAGCCTGTTGAACCTTCAAGGTCCCAGTTAAACTGGTCGAGCTGGGTCAGGTTTTAAAACATTAGTTTCAGTAAATAAAATTCAGAAATTTAATATGATCATATAATTTAAGCTAAACAATACATTTTGAATGACACGTAATTATATTAAGGATATCTTAAACTATGTCTCTTCTATAAGTTATCGTTGAATATTAAAACCATAATTTGTTGACATAATATAAGTTCATAGTTAGAATAAATAGTTCATGGTAAAAAGCTACTATGTACACATTTTTTTTTTTTTAATTATAAATCCCAATATCTAACAATAAATTTTTTAACTACTTTTGAATATTTGAATAATTTGATAAAGACTCTTAAATATATTACTCAAAAAGTCATGAGTTCGAGTCTCTCTTTGATTGCTAATAGGAATGGTTATTGAAACTCTTACTTAACTAGTAGTTTCAAGATCCTGAGAAATTAGTTAAAATACACGTAAACTGACCCGAGCACTCCTGATCATAAAAGAATAAAATAAAGCATCAATGTTGTGATTACTTGTATGAACTAACATGTAAAATATAACTCAAAAACAATTGTTTTGGTCGTCATGATCACCTTCTTAAATCTTAGAAGTCAGAGGATTTAAACCTAAGACCGTGCGTCTTAATCACACATCATAATGCTCGTCCTACCATTTAAGCTACTCAAAGATGGGTTATTCATTCTGAACTTGAGCATGCAGATACAGGATTTGCACCAAAAAGAAAATAAAAATATTTCTAAAAGTAGAACCCATGATTCCCAAATCATATACATAATAGAAAAATGAATTACATTGAGCCCAAATTTACATAGCATGTTTTCAAGAAAATATAATTCACCCTTCACCTACAATTTCCATAAATTTACAGACATTGGAGCAGCCTATGACTGCACTAACCACAATACTTTTTTTTTTTTTTTTAATTCTTACTATCATACATATTCTGTATCATTCTCTTAAACTTTAGTGTGCAGCGCAATTTAAGAATGAAGAACATTTATGATACTTACCGATACAAATGTGACTCCATAGAACTTTGATTTAGAGAACATAGCTTTCTACAGGATGATATCACATGGGATTCTCCTATCTGTTTTTGGATTGTAAGAAATAATCAGCAATGGAAGAACCTCGTTTAACTATATTAGGTCGCTTATGTGGCCGGAGCCAGGCTCGGATTTCATCTTGGATTTATGGGGTTAATTCATCAATCACAGTGGGGTCAATCTCTTCAATCCTGTAATTCCATGCTTCACTTGTTTGTTGAATTTGATCTGAACTGGACCTGCCACTGTTTGTTGCAGTCTCCGCTAAAAAACTCTCTATTGGCTCCTGAACTTGAATCAATTTTGAACAGCAATCGCCTGTGAATTGAAAAGTGCACCAGATTAAGCACCCGGGAGTGAAAAAAGAATACCTAAATATAACTTAGAAGTGGGATCATATACCTACTGTAGCTTTAGCATTTTGAGAAGTTTCAACGTCCTCCTGCTTCCATGATGAGCAAGAAGGATTCTGGCTCTTAAAGAAATTCAAGATTGAAGATGTTCCCTAACACACCATAACCAATAAAACAGTAAGCAATTATCTCATTTATACTAACTTATTGCCAAAATCCAAAAAAAAATCCTAATAGTTGGTCCAAACTTGAACAGCAAGGTCACTTTTAATTAGTTCCCTTCTCATTTTCTAGTTTATTTTTAATTCAGCCCTGCTTTATGTGAAGCAGGTTACATATATATAACTTTTACAATCAATTCATACTCACAAATTTGCATCACAACAAAAGGGCCCAAAATTCTCAGTATCTATACTACCACTATTCCTCATGCCAAGTAAGATTTGTTCATAAAAGCTATTAGTAAGAACATTTTGTCCATCTGGAAGTTCTGCAAATTCATCTAACTTCTGCCAATAATAATACTCAAATCTTTCTAACTCTTATATATTTTATCAATGGCAGATTTCCAAAGATCTTCCATCATTCAAAATCCACATGTTTAATTACATAAGTTTTCTCCATAATTAAACTTGGCACAAATGCCTCTGTTACCCACAACTAATGACCAAAAGCATTCCACGCTCTGGAATGAATATTCAAGTAATAAGTTGTTACAAATTTGAGCAATTTTTGGCAACCCGGATTATGACTAACTTCATAAACCAACATTAAACAGTCATTACAGACAAAAATCACATTATTTGTCCAATAACCACAAAAACAACAATCAAATTGCCAAACACCATCAATTTTATGAATCAAAATATTGAAACTTGAAAAGAAATTTTCATCGAACACAAAAACTTTACTAGATAGTACACACATGATTGCAGTATGATATAATAAATAGCAATAAATGTAGAGAAAACAGAAGAAAACAGTTGAACCTTGTCTTTCAAAGAACTTCTCTTTTGTTCCTGCCGCTTCAAATTAGTCATGATAGGTTTAATCCTGGAGTCATCAGAATGAACCTGATCCCTCTGTTGCTTACTTTGGTTCAGTCCTGAAAAGCTTTCACTTCCTAAATGAGTAGTTGGCCTTGGTTACAATGAAACTAAAATCTAACGAGGTAAGTGGGAGAGTTATGAGCAATGGTAAATAAGTTACTACCTGAGCAAGAGAATGGTGAAACTTCTGGGGTGAAGCTACATGATGCCTGCTGTATACTGGAGCAAGATTGATCCTACACAGACCAAGAATCTCACATTAGAATCAGACAATAAGAATGATGAACTTATTGTGGTTTCTTGATCTTTCTTTTGTCCTGTTTTTTAATCAAAGTCTGAAGCTTCAAATCCTGATGACAAGTAGGATGGGGACAAAATATTGGATTAAGACAGCAAAACTTTTGTTCCGGCCATTTCTGATTTGACCTTCAACAGACTGAAGCAGGCCTTCCAAATAGCATATAAGTTAATAAATTTTTTTACAAAATCCAACTAACAGTTGTATATGCGACAGTAGAACCTCAATAAGATTAGAATTCCCATAACAACATATTAACATCAAAGAAGCTGTTCTCACTTCTTGTTGACCCAAACCAGCTACAGAAAGTTTCATTCGCACTTCTTCACTAGGGAACTTGACTTGTGGCTCAGTTGGATTCAGTTCTGAATAGCTTTCACTGCCTGAATGAAAAGGACTTACTAGGTACTCAATAATTAATGATATAGAAATGAGAGTCATTAAAATTAAAAACACCTGAAGGTGACAACGGTGCGATATTTCCGGCAAAGGTATCAGGTGATTGCTTTAAAGAAGAATCAGATGCATCTTGGCCATGGAAATAGAATTCGATATGCAATTACCAACGAAGGATTGAGTAACATTCTTAGATTGTAAACTCGGAAAAAGAATGGCCCGAGTAGCTCTTAAGCTCTTCAAGAGTTCTGCAACTTTCTCAGAATGTTGAGTGTCAATAAATGAAAAATGTCGAACAGTTTGGGCAATATGCTTGGGTGCTAGACTATCCCTTGAGCATTCTCTTGGTGTCACGGATATTGCAAGATCGTGTATAAGGTCAGGCATTTTAAAGGTCAAGCCATAACCATTATCTTCAATATCCTGAAAGAAACACCTTGAAAATAATTCACACAAACACACGATCGCTTAAGCGATTTAGTATCTCGCTTAAACGACCCAGTATACATAAACCATAATCACTTAAGCGATATACCAAGTCGCTTAAGCGATCATGGCTAATTTCCTTTTGTACTCTACATTGATTCATTCTCAAATACAGGATTGCTTAAGAGATGTCATGCCTTGCTTAAGTGATCCAGTATACATAAGCCTTGATCGCTTAAGCGATAGACCACGTCACTTAAGCGATCAAGGCTAATTTCCTTTTGTACTCCATTAATTTTCTCAAATACAGGATCACTTAAGCGATATCATACCTCGCTTAAGAGATCCAGTATACATAAGCAATGATCGCTTAAGCAATATACCACGTCACTTAAGCGATCAAGGCTAATTTCCTTTTGTACTTAGAATAATTCATTCTCAAATACACTGGATCGCTTAAGCGATATCCCACATCACTTAAGTGACCATGGCTAATTTCCTTTATACTTAATAATCACTCTAAATCACGGATCGCTTAAGCGATGTGGGCTGTCGCTTAAGTGATCTGGTGTACATAAGCCTTGATTACTTAAGCAATCTGGTGTACATAAGCCCTGATTGCTTAAGCGATAAAGACAAATTTCCTTTTGTACTTGGAATAATTCATTCTCAACTACAGGATCGCTTAAACGATTTCATATCTTGCTTAAGTGATCCAATATGCATAAGTCGTGATCGCTTAAGCGATAACCCGAGTCGCTTAAGCGATCAAGGCAAATTTCCTTTTATACTTGGAAAATTCATTCTCAAGTATAGGATCGCTTAAGCGATGTCTTCTCTCGCTTACGCGATCCAGTGTACATAATCCTTGATCGCTTAAGCAATCTCCCACGTTGCTTAAGTGATCAAGGAAAATTTCTTTTTGTAGTTAGAATAATTCATTCTCAACTACAAGATTGCTTAAGCGATTTCAGATCTCGCTTAAGTAATCCTGTATGAATAAGCCATGATCGCTTAAGCGATAAACCGAGTCGCTTAAGCGATCAAGGCAAATTTCCTTTTGTATTTGGAATAATTCATTCTCAACTATAGGATCGCTTAGGCGATTTCAGATCTCACTTAAGCAATCCCGTATGAATAAGTCGTGATGGCTTAAGCGACAACCCACGTTGCTTAAGAGATCAAGGCAAATTTCCTTTTGTACTTGAAAATTTATTCTTAAGTACAAGATCGCTTAAGCGATGTCTTATCTCACTTAAGCGATCCAGTATACATAAGCCTTGATCGCTTAAGCGATATCCCTCATCGCTTAAGCGATCATAGCTAATTTCCTTTATACTTAATAATCATTCTAAATTAAGGATCGCTTAAGCAATATGGGCTCTCGCTTAAGCGATCCAGTATACATAAGTCGTGATCGCTTAAGCGATAACATACGTCGCTTAAGCAATCAAGGAAAATTTCCTTTTGTGCTTGGAATAATTCATTCTCAAATACAGGCTCACTTAAGCGATGTTTTATCTCGCTTAAGCGATCCAGTATACATAAGCCATGATCACTTAAGCGATATCCCGCGTCGCTTAAGCGATCAAGGCTAATTTCCTTTGTACTCTACAATAATCATTCTCAAATTTAGATTTGGGTAGAAGAGAACTAGACAACTATGCAACTTAGTGAACATATCTTCTTCTTCTTCTTTATTCGAAACATAAAGATGTTAAGAGTTCAAGCAAGAAAATGGCTTCAGAGTTGAGATATGGACGAAAAAGAAGACGGTAAAATTTTTAGAGCATTGATAAATATTACACTCTTTTGAGATTCTTCTCAGTCTTATTTTAAAAAGAGTTGTATTTTAAGGAGTAAACAAAGTTTGAATGACTAGTAAAAGATTGTTTGTGTAGATGGTTTTGCAAAGTTATAGCATCGTACATAAAACTAAATGATCTACGGTTATTCTATTACTGTTGTTAGTCCTTTTTTATTAAATATTTATTATTATTAATAATTTTTTTCATTTTAATAGAATGTGAAAGTAACACTTCAGTCTTTATCAGTCAGCAATGTACATAAAACTAAATGATCTACGGTTATTCTATTACTGTTGTTAGTCCTTTTTTATTAAATATTTATTATTATTAATAATTTTTTTCATTTTAATAGAATGTGAAAGTAACACTTCAGTCTTTATCAGTCAGCAATGTACATAAAACTAAATGATCTATTGTTATTCTATTATTTTTGTTAGTTCTTGGCAAGAAAATAATATATAAATAAATATAATATTTATATAAAATTGAACTCTGCAACCATCTTCTCTGCACTCTATAGACCGAGAGAGTGCCTGAATTTTTTAGAGTTTTTTACTATGAACAATAGCTCTTGTTGTCACAATAACTTTTTTAGTGCAACAGTTGTAACCTTATATAATATATTAAGCTTTTTGAAGATTTACTTTACTAAAAAAGTTCAAATGAAATTGAAAATTGCAGTAACCTTAGGCTTGGTGTGCTTTTTACAGCTCACTTGTGACTAATTTAGTAAATTGATTGATTTGACACGACAATTATTTTGATAATATTTAAAATGGATGAAAGTTAAAAATAATTAATTTTATTTAATATGATATAAAGAATTATTTATTCAAGCTTTTCAAAACACAAATGTAATGTCATCACACATTTACAAGATATAGTTGTTGTGCTGAAAAATTTTATTGTGATGGCAGGAACCGTATGTTTTAAAAAATTCATTTAAAACATACTTCACAACTATATCACCACCTCAGCAACTCAATGCACCTCTTCTAATGATTTCATCAATCAACTCATCAAAACTAACTTCTATACTCACTACAATTGATTTAACTTGTTTGTTCTTCCCAATCCACTTCCAGTAACTTTTTTCCTCCACCCATTCATCAAAATATTCAACACCCAAAATAACTTATCTCATGTCTAATAATAGCCAAATACCTATAATGCAAGAAAACAAAAATTATTAACTGATATATTAAGGGTTAATAGATTTTAAAAAGCATATGTAGAGTCACTTAAGCGATGTGGTGTATCACTTAACGGATCTGCTATATCACTTACTGGCTCGCTTAAGCAATCTGGTATAAATAAGCCTAATTGCTTAAGCAATCTTATTTCATATAACTGATCGCTTAAGCAATCTGCTGCCATATACCAAACTTAAAGAATATCGCTTAAGCAATCTGATACCATATACCTGATCGCTTAAGTGATCTATGATCTGTTGCATTATATGACATACCAGATCGCTTAAGCGATCCATCAGATCCAGAACACATTTTCAATCATCTCCACCTACAATCGGTGCTACCACTCCCAGCTACCCATAATGCAAGAAAATATCCAACAAATTTCACTCCTTTCAACTTGCATTACATCAAACACAACCCAACAACCTAAACAAGTAAATCAAAATCAAAATCATAATCCAAACCCAATCCATTATTAAATCTTTGTAAATCAAAATATAAAATGGAAAGGGGAGACACACATACCTAGACGAAATGTCAGGAGGAGGAGGAGGAGAATCCATGACGAAGAAGATGTTAATGGTAGAGGAAGAAGATAGTGTTAATGGCGGAAAGAAGAAGATGTACAGGAAGGAGGAAGAAGAAGATGCAGAGGAAGAAGAAGATGTTGACGAAGCTTAGAATAAACAGCAACTAGGGGAGGGATGCGTTAATGGCGGGAGGAAGAAGAAGAAGATGTTATGTTTGGGTTTGTTTGCAAGAATTTTAAGTTTTTGGGGATATATTATAATTTTTTACACAATGCTTCATTAATCCTAATTAAGCCATGATTAGAGTTTAATTGTTATTAGTTTGTCTTAGTAAAAAATAATGTCTTTTAGTAAAAATTAAAAAAATACATGGCCTTTTAATAAATTCAAGGCCAATATGGCTTTTTAATCATTTGCCCCGCTGATATTTCTAAAGGAGTGTTGCGTCAATGTTTGTGCTATGTAATGGAGAAAGAAAATTTTATTTGACCCCTATCTATGATATGGTATCAAGATTACCGTCTTAGTTTCATAAACTAACAGTATTACCCCTTCTTCGGTTCTTCCATTAACTTTAGGTGGCTTTCATTATTGTATTTAGTGTTTTTGTGTCAAATAATGAAATTTGAAATAAGAAGTTTGATTTTGTATTTTCAAAATTTATAAATGCATTTATTATCATTTTCCAAAAATATTTTTTTAGAAATTTGAAAAAATGGAAACACTGAAATATTTTCATGTTTTCCCCTTTAGAAAACAGATATGATAAATGAATAAATATTACAAATTTTGCAAGAAAAAAATAGAAAATGAAACGATAATGAACACTACCTACACTTTTGACACTCCTAAAACTATCGTTCCTAATATTCACAATTAGACAATTAAATTAACAAAGCAAGGGATGATATTTTTAAATTTTGACACTAGAAGGATAAGATAAATAGAAAATGAAAAAGAAGAAAACAATGAACACAACCTTAACTCGTAATTTTCAAAGTCGGACGTTAAATTAAAAACAACCAAAAAAACAAAAGGTGGTGTTGTTAGTTTTTGAAACTAGAGGGGTGAGATTTTCTTCAAACATAGATAAGGGGCTGTGGAAAGCCCCTCCAAAGTTGACGGCTGAATATTGAACGTTGAATAAGAAACAAGAGGAGTTGAAAAGTCAAAAACATTTATTGGCTACACCAACACCAACCTCATTGTGGGCATATTAGTCAAAGTATTTATTTATCAATTACGTCTCTCACATGCTTCAAATAATTCGGTGGTCTCTAGAATTTCTCTTCACACCTAATTTTCTTTTGTCATCTATTCAATTTATTAAATCATAGATTTTGAAGAAATTTATTATTCAGTTTCTAGAAGTTTTATCGTTGTTTTATTTGACTTTCACTATAGTGGTCGAATCTTAATAGGCGGGAGATTGAAGATGATAGTGTCTGAATCCCAATATTCAAGCAATGTCGAGCATTGTTTAATGTATTGTATTTAAGCTTATAGATTGATTATTCTGATTTGCATATTTTCTCATGAATGAAGCAAAACAACTAAATTTTATAAATGTCAAGGATTTCCTCAAATTCTAAACTGATTTATGGATAATTGCTAGATAAATAATATAAATGGTGGGGTTTGAGTAATATTTTATGTTTGATAAAGGGGGAAAAAATTCCAACCATTCAAGACTATTAGACATTATCTGGCTTTCATTATAGTGCTCAAATCTTGATATTTAGATAATGTCGAGCGATCTGGGGTTGGAGATTGAAGACGATAGTGTCTGAGACCCCATATTCGAGCAATGTAGAATATTATTTAATGTATTGTGTTTAAGCTTATACTACATATGAGCATGGTTTTAAAACCTGGCTAGGTCTAGCCGGTTCAACTGGTTGAATAAAAAACTGATGATCGAGTCGGGTCGGTTCGACTAAAAAACCAAAATTTTGAAATGACTTAGTTTGAATTGCAATTGGATCAGATTTTTTATTACAAACCGTCGGTCCAACTGATTCGACCCAACGGTTAAACCATTTTTTTTTATTTTTTATTTTTATTTTTTTATATGTCATGTTGATGTCAGAATAGTGTCATCACACTGACATCAACATGATGACATCACGGTTTGATCCGATGGTTGAATTGATTCAACCATCCAACCTGATGACCGGATGAACTGATCGGGTCATTTTCTGGGTCGGGTTTTAAAACTTTGCTGGTATGAGGACAATTTCATTAGATAATTGGAAGAAGAATATAGAGTTGAAAACTTTTAAAAAGAGGTTACTTTTCAATGCAAGAGAAAAATGATGGTCATTTATATTATTTCACAAAAAGTAAAGGTGGTTTTGGGAATTATAAAGATGTGAATAGTGAAATATTATACTACGTTTTCAAAGAACGTATTGTGATAGAATACAAATCGAATCTTAATTCTGGAAGGAGAAATTATGCCTTTACAGCAATTTTTGAATTTAATTAATTAATTAATTTTAAACTATTAAATCAAGACCAAGACGTATGGACAGAAAGTCCAATAATTTGATAAATAGATTAGAAAATTATTGGAAAAAAGTTGTAACAAAAGTGTGAAATTAAGAAATTAATCAGATAATTAATTACTCCTCTTCTAGAATAATTCCGTTACTGTTTATTCGATATAATTATCAATAAAAACAATTAAAATAATTAAACAATTAAAAAGAGTAATAATTTTTTCTTGTGAAAAATCTGATACCAGAAAGACACTCTGGCGAAAATTAGTTCATCACAAAGAAAAGAAAATTCACAACAAACAAACAAAAAATAATAATCTTCAACAATTCTCATCACCTGTAAAATTTTCATCTGAAACTCTCTTGCTGGCTTTCCTAGTTTCTCTCCAATATCTCTTTTTTCTTTTTTTTTTTTTTTTAACCGATGGGTCCAAGCCACGGTTTGTGCGCAACTTAATTAATCTCTGGAATCATTGAACACCCTACAAACCTAATAAATCAGATAAGTTACAAATGTAATAGGATAAGTCACAAACGTGATAAATGGCCACGTTGTATGACTCGAACACAATACTGGATGGTAACCCACAGTCTTACCATTCAGCCACGAGCCAAATGATTTTCTCTCCAATATCCTTGAAAACTAGAAAAATCGAAATATGATTAGTGGTTAATAATTGGAGAGTCATACTACACCTCCAAAGTTGGAATCCCAACTTCGGATTTTAACTCCCATTGATTATAAGATAATGAGATGAGAGAGTGTGTTACTTGCTATAATCAATGTTAGTGCCGACACATAAACAGTCACGTAAATTAGAATCCAACTTTGTATACATGGTATTGGCTATAATAGCAGCGAATATAATATTGGAACATTCAAAGCATTCTTCGATTTTCCCATAAATGAACTCTCACAATTAAAATGGGGCATGTTACAAGTTCATTCTAAAGAAACTGCAATTTTATGCCAATATAAACAACCTAAAAACACTCAACTCCGGCAAATCTTGATATACTATGTAGAGTTAAAATTTTAGAAGTAAGAAATAATCACAAAAGAAAATCAGAATACATAATACTGTATGTTGGATTAGTAACTTCAGAAAACAGAGGAAGTTCAAGCACCTGCATACAACTTTCTTGGCTTATAACAAAGTAAATAAGAAGACAGATTATGGTACCTAATTAATCATGATTCGTTGCCGAAATGTTGGTTTAGTCCAAAATAATCTCTGAGACATGAGCAGTCATCAAACAATCTTGTCTGCATCTTTCACTGAGTGCCGGAGAGTCTTGAATCTTTTTTTCTCGAAGAGCAGCGAGATATTGTATCCCTTCTGGTAAAGATGACAAACGCCGGCAACTTATAATCTCAAGTTTCTGAAGCGATGTGAGATTTTGGAACCACTCTGGTAATGCTTTTAAGCTGGGACATTTTTCAATCCGCATGTACTGTAAAGTAGTAGCAGATCCTTGAAGAATCAACTGAGGCAAATACTCTAATGCTGGTAAGTCAATGAGCATAAATGTTTGAAGGTTTAAATAAGTGTCTTCCTCTTGCAATTCCATCTTCAGATTAAGCTTTGGGCAATCCTGAATCACCAACTTCTCTAACCTGGTTAGTTTTTTCATACTGCATGGCAACGAGATCAAGCATCCACACTCTTGAATACATAATGTTCGGAGGGCTGTGAGGCTTTGCACGTCGAACAAGCTTAGTAAATTGAGGCAGTTATCCATGCACAAATATCGAAGAGACTTCAAACACTCTATACCATTCTCTGGTATATCCCGAGCAGCTGTGGTTAATTCTAAATATCTGAGACTGCTCATGTATTTGATATTAGAAGGCAACCCATGAAGAAGTGAACAACCAAGAAGTCTCAAGGTTTGTAAACTGTGAAGCTTACAAATTGATTCAGGGAGTTCTGTCAAAAAGATATTATCTGAGAGGTCAAGATATCTCAAATGTTTCAATGTACCAATAGAATCTGGCAAAGCAAAATGAAGTATGGAGCTTAAACTTAGCAGCCGTAGGTACTTTGAGAAACACATCTTAAGAAAAGATTCAGTTAAAAACCCGTAGTCTTCTCTTGGGAAAAAAATGGTCCGAACAGAATCTGTGTTACTTGAAAGTTTTGGAGATTCATCCTTATAGAAGTGAGTATCCACGAATGAGAAATGTCGAACTCTTCTATCTACATTTTGGGTTTCGGATTTTACCACCAAACACTCTCTTTCTGCTACTGATACTGCAAGATCATGTACAAGATCATGCATTTTAAAAGTAAAATAAAAACCGAAATCCTCAACATCTTGAAAGAAGCACCTTGACAAAAACTCCTTCAAGTACCGCAGACCAGCATCTTCCAACTCTTCATTTCCATATGGGATCACAAGTCCAAGCGCCATCCAAAAATGGACCAAATATCTGCTGTCAAAATGATAATCCTTGGGAAATAAGGAGCAATATGAAAAGCATCGTTGCAACTGAGAGGGCAGACGATCATAACTCAATTTCAATGCTGGTAAGATGTCATCCTCCCTTTGTTCTAGCCTCCATATGTCATTGTCTTTTATGAACAACCAATCACTTTCATCTGTTTTTGTACAAAGTAAACTTCCTAAAGTTCTCACTGCTAGAGGAATCCCTCCACTTGTTTCTACAATTTCACCACCAAATTTAATAAGGTTTGGATACTTTTTCTCTTCTCCATCTACGAATGCCCATTTGAAAAACAATGACATACAATCCTTATGAGGAAGACCGTTTAAGATGTATGGTGGAACAGTTCCCATAACTGAAGCAACTTGGTTACTACGTGTAGTGACCACTATCTTACTTCCATATGCACCTCCCATCAATAATTCTCTCAGTTGAATCCATCTCACACGATTTTCATTCCATACATCATCTAATATGAGCAAAAATTTCTTACCGCTCACAGTGTCTCGCAAGCGAACTTGCAATTGGTCGGTTGTTAACTTGACACAGTTTTCACCAGTGCAGATTGAATAATTTCTCTCATCAACCTCGTAAGATCAAAGTCTTCGAATACACAAACCCATATTTTTAATGCAAAATGCAGATGTACCCTCTCATCATTGTACACCACTCTAGCAAGAGTAGTTTTGCCAAGACCTGCAATTCCAACTATTGGAAGAATGGAGATATTTCCAACATCACATGGCTGAAACAAAAAATTTATGATGTTTTCTATATCACTGTCTCTTCCAATCACATCAGAAGCATGAGCAAAGGAGTGGATCATTGCCCTCTCTCTTGGAAGAACACACCTAATATCAACACTTACACGCGCAGTGAGATGCAATTTAGACTTAGCAGCTGCCATCACATCTAGCCTCTCTCTAATCTCTTTGATTTTACGACCGATTTTCAAACGAAATGCAACAGGATTAGAACTTGAAAATAAGGTGCTCACCTTTCTTTTGGAGCTCGCTCTAATCCCTTGGCTTCCTTTAATTACTTTTCTCCTAAGAGAATCACATTCAACTTCATCCAATACATCCTCAGCATCATAAAATATATCTTTAAGCTTCCCAAGCCAAATAGAGAGCTCATGATTCTTTATCTGCTTCTCCTCAGCATCCAAGAGCACAGCTTTGATTATGGACAAGGTTTCTTCAAGCTTTCTTAAATCCTTTCGAAGAGCCCAGGACAACTTCAGTTGTCGATTAGCAAGGAAGCTTATCTTCAATAAAATGCCAGCTGCAATTTGGAACAGAAAATATTCTGCCATGTTCTTTGAGTTTGAAAGAAAGGAAAGAGAGGGATAATGAGTTAGCTGATAGATTATGATGGACTTGTTCCTGGAGAATTTCAACTTTGAACAATTGAAGAAATTATGAACTTCATGAAAGCGTTGACTTCGACTAAAACGGGCACCCAGGAAGATATGTTACAAGAATATTAAATTATTATCAGAAGCATATAAGATATCTTCTGAAAAGTACAACCAACATCATTGCATCATCTAATTGGAGATGTCAACTAGGAAACTAGTAGAAAATTCGATTAAAACAAACCACATTCTAACTTCCAAGCAGGTCAGCATGAACCATCATCAAGCATGAAGAATCTTCTAAAACTTTAAAATTAATTTGGAGAAAAAACCACACATGATAAGCTATATAACAACTAACTTAGGAAGTATTAATTCATTCAGGTAAAGACAAAGCAACTTTTTTGATAGATTGAAACGAATGATAAGTCAAAAACAACTTTTGTTGTGTAATAATCTAATAGTACTATCAAAAGCCACTTTATTAGTCATAAATTATCTAGCATGCTATTCCATACCAGCCTGCTAGATTTAATTCTAGATCATATTAGCACTAAAAATCATGGAAAATGAATTATCTAAGCTGTCTAAATTTTTGAAAGTGACATACTAGACTAGATGGTCTAATATTAAGCTACATGGACCATTAATGGTCAAGCATTTTGAAAGAAGATATAGGGTCTAGAGTGCAAAAGTGACTAGACTATGCAAGATGCGGTTTAGCACGATGTTAAACGATACTAGGGATACTATTTGCAGGGCATAATGATTAGATTACTGCTAAATTAGTTATTTGCATCTAAGTTTCTAGAAGTGGCTACCCATGTTCAACAAACTATTTGATGAACTCTTTTTTGAAATTGCCATTAACAACTTCATAATAAAGGAAATTAAAAAAAAAAAAAAAAAAAAAAAAGGGAAAATACGAACCAACACGACACAAATAAATCCAACTTATGAATCATACTAGACTAATATATTTGAACAAACCAATAATTCCCAGATCTGGAAAAAGAAACAGGTGTTAGATTGAGCCCACATAACAACTTGCTATCATGAACTACTGCTCACCCTAACCTACATTTCCATATCAACTAATTCAACAAGTTCATCGAAGATAACCTTAAATATAAGCACAACTGTTTAGTAACTAAAACAATTTATAAAAACTGCAGCAGCCACAGCCTTTCGCTGCACTAACCACAACATCAAATTCTTTTACCATCTCATACATGTTTTCTATCATTCTCTCTCATATTAGTGCAATATGCAGTTTAAGAAAGAATGAAGAACATTTATGATACTTACAGATACAACTGTAACTCAATTTGGCTCTACCATCTTCTGGCTCTTGTAACGGTCACATGAAAAATCAAATACAAAATCAAGCAGCACCAGATTTCTTAACTTTGAGAGAGTACACAACTTTCTACAGAAAGATAACACTTGGGAATGCCCCATCTATATTTGGATGGTAAGAAGTAATCAGCGATGGAAGAACCTTGTTTAACCATATCAAGTCTCTCCTTTGGCCAGAGCCAAGCCTGAATTTCTTGAATTTGTGGGCATAATCCATCAATCACAGTGGGGTCAATATCCTCAATCTTGTTGAATTTGATCTTAAGTATACCTGCCACTGCTTATCGCACTCTCTGGTAAAAAACACACTATTGGTTGCTGAATTTGAATAAATTCCGAACAGTAGTCACCAGTGGATAGAAAACTGCAACTGATGGAGCACTGGAGAGGAAAAAGAATAGGCAGTTATAACATAGAAGTGGGATCATACCTAAGGACAATGGAGCTTTAACATTTTGAGTAGTTTCAACATGCAAGAAGAATTCTGGCACTTAAAGAGAAAACAGAAAAATCCAAAAGAGAAAACAATAAAACAATTACATTAAAGCTGAAATATTATATACACTAACTTATTAACAAAATCCAAAAGCCATACTAATAGTTGGTCCAAACTTTAATAGCAAGGTTACTTTTAATTAATTCCCTTCTCATTCTCTATCTTCTTTTTAATTCACCTGTGATATATGAAAAGTAGGCTATACATATACATTACTGTTACAAACAATTCATACTCACAAATTTGCATCACAACAAAAAGGCCATAAAATATTCTTCCTCTATACTGCTATCATTCCTCATCTGCACGTAAGATTTGTTCATAAAAGCTATTAGTAAGAAAAATTCATTTTTTTCATCTTGACTTTCCGCAAATTCATCTTACTTCTGTCTAAAATAATTACTCGGAGTTCTGTAATTTATATATCTTCTCAAACAAAATATAAATTTTAGAAGATTTTCCATCAATCAAATTCCACATGTTTAATTAGCTAAGTTTTATCCTTAATTCAACTTGGCTCAAATGCCTCTGACACCCACAACTAATGACCTAAAGAATTCCACATTCTGGAATGAATATTCAAGTAATAAGTTGTTTCGAAGTTGAGCTATTTTTGGCAACTCAAAATACAACTTAACATCATAAACCAACACTAAACAGCCAATTACAAATAAAGATCAGATTATTTGTCCAATAACCACAAAAATAATCATGACATTCCCAAACATCATCAATTTAATGAATCAATATTGAAACCTGAAAAGAATTTTTCATCCAACACAAAAACTTTACAGGTAGTAGACACATGATTGCAGTATGATACGATAAATAGCTATAAATCAATAAAGATAACAATAGTGAGCCATTGAACCTTGTCTTTCAATGCATTTCTGTTTTGTTCCTGCCACTTCAAATTAGTCATGACAGGCTTAATCCTGGAGTCATCAAAATGAGTCTGATACCTCTGTTGGTTATGCTGGTTCAGTCCTTAACAGCTTTCAGTTCCTGAATGAACAGTGGGCCTTATTTACAATGAAACAAAAATCTAACAAGGTAAAGGGAGAGAGTTTTGAGAAATAGTTAATGCAAGTTACTACCTGAGCAGGATAATGGTAAAATTTCTATGGTGAAGCTACATGATGCCTGCTGTAAAGTAGAGCAAGATTGATCCTAAACAGATAAGAATCTCACATTAGAATCAGACAATAAGAATGATAAACTCATTGCAATCTATTTTTCTTTATCAGAACCAGACAATAAGAGAATTAAAGCTTCAAATCTTGATGATGAGTAGGATCGGACACAAATATTGGTTAAATCAATGTTTTGAGACCTGGCCCGGTCAGGCATCCAGGTCCCGGGCTGTGCCAGTCGGACCGGTCAATCTTTCCACTTTCAAGATAATCCCCACCCTCCATTCCTCTTCTTTGCTTCAGTCTAATCCAATCCTCTTTCAGCACTCACTCTTCCTCTCACGGACAAAAATACAAACACACAGAGAGCTTCAAACTCTCCATCAATGGCGTCTCTCTAGCAAACCCCAATGGCTCTCTCCCTCCATTCCTCTCCTTTGTTTCAGCCTCCACCCTCCATTTCCCTCTTAGCCGTAATCCAATCCTCTTTCAGCACTCACTCTTCCTCTCACACACACAAAAACACAAACAGACAGAGAGCCTCAAGCTCTCCATCAATGGCGTCTCTCCACTCTCCAGAAAACCCCTACCGCTCTCTCCCTCCAATCCAATCTCTTTTCCCCCTCCCTCTGCCTCACGAAAACCCATTCATAGGTTTAAGAAAATGGACTAGCTTCATAGTAGGAATCCCATCACTTGTTGGTGGGACCATCCACACTTGTCTCACTTCAACACCAACTTGTACAACTTCCTCTGTTGATGAAGCTCACAAATGAAGCTTAAAAAACCCACTCTTGAAATGGGTTTGTGGGTTTCTTTGTGAGCAAGGGAGAGCAAATCAAGGGACAAGGAACAGTCTTGAAGATTAAAAAAAAAAAAATGAAAGGTCTTTACAGGAGAGAGAAAAATGTGGGCTCTTCATCTTTTGTGTCAGTATAGGGTTCTTCATCTTTTGCTTCAAAAGAGAAAGAAGTGAGGAGTAATGGAAGTCTGGAAGTCTAGAAGTAAAGTAGAATAGTCCCACCAATAATTAGTGACCTGGTTTGGGTCACAGACCGGCAGTTTGATACTATTCCGCCAGTCCGACCGCGGTTCAAAACGGGTCTTAGTGCATTAGCGGGTTTAGCATTGAACTGGACCGGAGTTGTATCCGGTTCCCAGTCGAACCAGCCGGTCTCGTACGGTCCGGGTTTCAAAACAGTGGGTTATATTAATACAGTGAAATGTATAGATAGAGTGCCAAATTTTTGTCCTTGTCATTTCAAATCTGAGCTTTAAATTGACTCATACAGGCCATCCAAACTACATATAACTTAAAATAAAAATATTGAAAAACAGTTGCTACAAAAGTGTGAAATTACATTATGAATAATCTAGAGGGAGTGAAGGGTTCTATGATCAAGAGCTGATTAGATTTAGGATGAGAATTGTTTAATATAAAAACTCACCAACTTACAAATTAATCGGATAAACAATTAATTATGATGCACAATAATTTGTCGTCATTCATTCAATATTATTATCAATCAAACCAATAAAAACAATAAATAAAGAGACCACAACCATAACCAAATATTTTTAAAATGAAAAAACTTATACGAAAAAACCAGTAGCAATAATAGTTCATCACAAAGAAAAACAAATTCACAACGAAAAAGAATTCAATAACTCTTATATACATTCAAATTGTTTTGAGAAAAATTCTCTTCACCAGTATAATTTTTTGAAATTCTCTAGCTGGCCTTTCCGCTTTTTTTTCTCTCCAATAACCATGGAAAATAGAAAAATTAGAATATGATTAGTTGTCACATATGAACGTGAGATTGTTTACTTATGTGTGTATATATGTATGTATATAGATTTGGGAACTATACCAAATTTCTAAACTGATTTTAGAGCCAATTCTAAACACTAATAATGTTTTCCGTTTCCAAATTCAGAAGCATAACTTGGGAGCAACATAGCGAGTACTGAAGGTTGTACTAATAACTTCAGACATGCACCGTATACAATTATCCTGGCTTATAACAAAGTAAATAAGAAGCAAATTGTAGTACCTAATTAATCATAAAATGCTTGTTTAGTCCAAATGAATCTCTGGGACATGAGCAGTCATCAAACAATCTTTTCTGCATCTTTCACTGAGTGCCGGCGAATCTTGAATCTTTAATTCTTGAAGAGCAGTCAGGTGTTGTATCCCTTGCGGTAGAGACGATAAACCCGGGCAACTTATAATCTCAAGTTTCTGAACTGATGTGAGATTTTGCAGCCACTCTGGTAGTGCTTTTAAGCGGGGGCATTTTTCAATCCGCATGTACCGTAAAGTATTAGCAGATCCTTGAAGTATCAACAGGGGCAAATCAACTAATGCTGGTAAGTCGATAATAATAAATGTTTGAAGGCTCAAGCAGGGGTCTTCCTCTTGCAATTCCATGTTCAGATTAAGCTTTGGACAATCCCAAATCACCAACTTCTCTAACCTGGTTAGATACTTCATACCATGTGGCAATGAAGTCAAGCATGCACTATCTCGAATATATATTGTTTGGAGGCTTGTGAGTTTTTGCATGTCTTCAAACAAACTTACAAGATTGAAGCAGTTATTGATGTACAAATATCGAAGAGACTTCAAACACCCTATGACATCCTCTTGTAGTTGCTGAACACATGTGGTTATCTCTACATATCTGAGACTGATCATTAGTTTCATATTGTAAGGGAACCTATACAGCATTGAAAAACCAACAAGTCTTAAGGTTTGCAAATTGTGAAGCTGACAAATAGATTCGGGGAGTTCTGCCAAAAAAAAAATTATGAGAAAGGTCGAGATATCTCAGATGTTTCAATGTACCGACAGAATCTGGTAACACATCACGAAGTATAGAGCTTAAGCTTAGCAATCGGAAGTATTTAAATCTTGATAAGCATCTACTAAGAAAAGATTCCGTGAAAAAATCATTTTCCCTTAGGAGAAAAAAAGTCCGGACACTCCTTGCATTATTTAATAAATTTGGATCTTCTTGATTATTGAAAGGATTATCAATCAATGAGAAATGTCGAACTCTTATATCAACATTTTGGGTCTTAAAATTTACCGTTAAGCACTCTCTTCGTGCTACTAATACTGAAAGATCATGTAGAAGGTCATGCATTTTAAAAGTAAAATAAAAACCATAGTCCTCAACATCTTGAAAGAAACACCTTGATAATAACTCCTTCAAATACCGCAGCCTGACATCTTCCAACAATTCATTGTCATTTGGGATAAAAAGTAGTCCAAGTGCCATCCAATAATAGACCAAATATCTGCTGTCAAAACAATAATCCTTCGGAAATAAGGAACAATATGCAAAACAACATTGCAAGTAAGACGGCAAATAATCATAACTCAATTTCAATACTGGAAGGATGCCATTCTCTCCCTGTTCAAGCCTCCATATATCGTTGTCTTTTATGAATAGCCAATCATTTTCATCAGTTTTGGCATAAAGTAGGCTTCCTAAAGTTCTCACCGCCAGAGGAACCCCTCCACACTTTCTCACAATTCCATCACCAATTTTGACAAGGTTTGAATACCTTTTCTCTTCTCCATCTACAAATGCCCATTTCAAAAATAAAAACAAACAATCCTCATGGGGAAGACCCCTTAAGACATAAGGAGGAACAGTGCCAATAATTGATGCAACTTGATTACTGCGTGTTGTGACAATAATCTTACTTCCATTTGCACCACCCATCAACAATTCTCTCAATTCAATCCATTTTACTCGATCTTCGTTCCATACATCATCTAAAATGAGTAAAAACTTCTTACCACCCAAAGTTTTTCCCCAAAGTTTTTCTCAAGCGGGCTTGCAACTGATCAGCTGTTAACTTAGTACAATATTCACCAGTTGCAGAATCAATAATTTCTTTCATCAACCTGGTAACATTAAAATCCTCTGACACACATACCCACATTTTTAAAGAAAAGTGTCTATTCACTTTCTCATCATTGTACACCATTCTAGCAAGAGTGGTTTTGCCCAAACCTCCTATTCCAACTATAGGAACAAGGGGAACATTTCCCAAATCACAAAGCTCCAACAAAAAATTTATGATATTTTCTTTGTCGCTATCTCTTCCAATAACATTAGAAGAATGAACAAAGGAGTGAGTCATCACTCTCTCCCGAGGAAAAACATACCTAGAATCAACACTCACACGCTCAGTTAGCTGAAATTTAGACTTATCTGCTGCCATGCCTCTCTCCAATCTCCTTCATTCTATGACCAATTCTGTAACGAAATGCAACAGGATTAGAATTTGAAAAGAAGGTACTTACCTTGCTTATGGACCTCCATAAGATCCCTTGTGTTGCTTTCACTACTTGTCTCCTCAGAGCATCACATTCAACTTCATCCAATACATCCTCAGCATCATAAAAGATATCTTTAAGCTTCCCAAGTCAAATACGGATCTCATGATTCTGTGACTGCTGAACCTCAGCATCCAAGAGCACAGCTTTGATGATGGACAAGGTCTCTTCCAGCTTTCTTAAATCGCTTTCAATACCACATGACAAGCTCAGTTCTCTGTAAGCAAGAGACCCTGTTTTCATCAAAACGTTAGCTGCAATTTCATACAGAAATGATTCCGCCGCCATTTTTGTTCGAGACAAAAGCACAGAGAGAGGGATAAAAATGTTTTGGGCTTGTCGTAGGACATATTCAGCTGCGGAGAATAACATATCCCTAAGTTTGGTTAAAGTCCCTTTAGTCTTCTAGAATTTTCTAATAACGTTTTGGTCCCTGAATAAAAAAACTTCAGAAAAGTAAAATGTTGCTTAAACACATTATAAACGGTAAATTCATAGAGCAATTTTTGTCATCAATGATTCAATATATATATATGGAGAGAGAAAATAGGTCTCTAGTCAAAACGTTCTGATATTAATTTATTAAGATCATGTATATATATCATTAGATTTAAATAATAAAATATTATCCTAATCCAATGAAATAAATCATCCGGTGATTAAACGTAGTTATAATGAAACTATTATTAGGACTTCCTGACAAGAGAATGATTACTATACGAAAATTTTCTAATCAGGACCGTCCTAATATAATTATATTAAGATTGTGCTTGGATATTAGTGGATCCACTCATTAAACTAAAATTCTATTTTACATATAAGTATCCAACGGTGAATATATATGGTTATGATATAATTATATTAAGACATTCCTGATTAGAGAGTAATATATATATTTTGTAAGGACCAAACTGAATTTATTAGATTTGTCTTCATTGGACTGAAATGATATTTTGTACACAAAAAAACATAAGGATGGGTTTACTCTATATATATATATATATACACAATGAATAATATTATCTGCATTAATCAATTTGTACTAATCCAAGTACTAACTTTAAAAATTTGAATTTTTAAATTTTTAAAGTTAGTACCTAGGTTAATACAATTGGTTAGTGCACATAGTATTACTCTTATGTTAAATATGTCTTAATATAATTGATTAAGACCATGCAAATACATCGTTGGATTTAAATTGTAAAATATCATTTTCATCCAATGAATCCAACAATGGATAGTCTTAACCAAATTTATATCATAACACTATGATTACAAAATGGATAATATATATATATGGTTTAGGGGGTGAAGTGTTTGGATCATACAATATTTTATTATAAGGGTATATTTTATTAACGAAAAAAAAAATCTCCTTGAAGATTATTAGAATGTTTAGAAAATGTATTTGGTTGGGAGGATAAATAGGTGGGTATATTATGTAAATTATTAAATTACCCTCCTTTTAAATATTAATATAATAGTGTTTGTATTATTATTTTTTGGAGCACCTTTTTAACCCTCTACATTTAAAATTTTGCTAAAACACCCTAACTATATAAAATTTTAATTTATAGCAAAATCACCCCCACCCACCCCAAGCCACTATTGACAGCTAGCCACCATCGCTGACTGTCACCAACGGTCGATGGAATGGCACACGACTGGTTGTATATGGTTTGTCGTGTACCAACAAAGCCGGAAATGACCATGGATCACAAATCCATGACCGAAAAACCATAAAACAGCCATAGAAACGTCAAATTTGGCCGTTTAAGAAAAAGCCTTACCCTCAAGCGACTAGTCAGATCTCCCCAGTCGTACACCGTTATAGCAATTGACACCGACGGCCAATAGTAGTCTTGGGTAGTTGAGGGGATTTTGTTAATTTTAAAACTTTTTTGTGACTAGAGTGTTTTAGCTAATTTTTCAAATGTAGCGGGGCTAGGTAATTGTTACTTGGTAGACATTTAAGGGTAATTATGTCTAAAATGGTTTTTAATTAAGAGCAAAATAGGTAGAAAAATCATATTACTCTGGTAATATTTTAGCAACACCCCATAAAAAGATAATAAGATTACCCTCCACATTATCAACAGTAAACACTATTTGTAATAAAAGATTATTGTAGCTATTTATTCCTTGCAAGCCAAATACAAAAATCTTGTAAAATAAACGAAGATTACCATTGATCCAATCAGCCCCTTAGGGTTAAATTATTTGCCATAATTTCACACTTATATCCGGTCGTGACTTTTCCCACTACACAATTTTAATATATTTCTCAAATATCGAACATTGGGTTAAAAATAACAATATTTGTTGCAGTTATAAAAAAAAATACAAAAATAAAAGAAAACTAAAATAAATAATAATAAACATTTTTTCATAAATGTTATATAGTTTTTATTAGTAATTTTCTTTAGTTTAACAAAATTTTCCCCTTTAGGTTTTTTTTTACAGCAAAATAGAAGGGTTTTGGAATCTAGTTTAATGAATCAAAGTAAATTAAACATTGAAATTTTGACGAAACATCGATGGCAAAATAAATTATTTTATAGAGTAACATTACATTTACTAACACTTCTTACTAATTTTCTCTCACTAATGTCACATGTCCGCTCATAATTCATCAATTTACATGGGGCCTGCTTGTCCAATAATGAGTCTCACCTAACCAAGTTAATCACAAACTCTCACATAAGATTAGTGAGAGGGATTAACTACGTTAATATTATTGTATTTTATAAATCTAAACTCAGTTTTATTTTAATTTTTTTATCATAAGGGTCCATGTTTTTGGTCCAAGTCATGTACTGTTCAATAGAGTTAACCTCTTTTTAGTCATTGTGGTTTCAGTTTACTGTTTAAAGGCAGTTGTTTCAAAAACTGTCTTTGGTCCTCATAGTTTCAAAGTACTACTACGCGCTGTATTTATTCTTTGACTCGATAAAAAGGTTAGTTGACTATTAAATTTATATCGAAATAACAAAACTATCCTCTCTTAAAGGTATTAAAACTTTGTTAAATATTTATATAAAAATGCATTTTTTTTAAAAATGTATGGTTAAATTAAGCAATTGTACTAATCCAAGTATTAACATTGAAACTTTAAAATTTTTTTTTTTAGTTTTTTGAGAAATTTTAAATTTTCAAAGTTAGTACTTGGTTTAGTACAAATTAGTTAGTGCAGATAATATTATTCTTAATATAGAGTTATTCTATATATATGTGTCAAGACCAAAAAGCTCCTTAGATTTAGCACGAGAATTGTTTAATTAAAAAATAATTAAGAAATATATATGATTTTAATTTAATTGCTTGTCATATAAAACAATTTTGTCATAGATCATTCGATATCATTTGTCAAACAAATAAAATAAAGATTTTTTTTAATATGAAAAACCTTATTACAACAAAACCTCTATTGATAATGATTTACACAAAGAAAAAGCAAATTCACTACGAAAAATAGTAATAATAATGTTCAACAGGTCCTCATACATTCAAATTGTATTTTGAATATGCCAACAATTCTCATCACTTTGTATAAATTTCATTTGAAACTCTCCTATTGGCTATTCCAGTGTTTTCTTTTCAATAACCTTGAAAATAGGAAAATAATAAAAAATAAATAAAAAATAAAAATTGGGAGTATGATTCGTTGTTGATGCAGAGTAATACCATATATGTAAAATTAAATCTCGACTGATGTAACAGCTTATATGTCTAACACAATATTGATTATAAGATAATAGAACGACCGTGTTACTTTCTTATATTCAATATGATACACATAAACAATCACATTAATCTGTACATGAAGTATTACCGTGTACTACTCAACACTTACACGCTCAGTGAGGTGAAATTTGTCATAAAGTGAAGGAATATTAGCCTCTCTATTCTCCTTGATTTTATGACAAATTTTGTGACGAAATGCAACAGGATTAGAACTTGAAAAGAATGTTTTTTTCTTTTTTTTTGTTTTTTTTTTTTTTCCTTTGTTTTTTTTTTTTTTTTTTTTTCTTTAATTTTTTTTTTTTATTTTTTTCTTTTTTTTCTTTTTTTTTTTAAATTTTTCTTTTAAGCTTCCCAAGCCAAATACGGAGCTCATGATTTTGTGACTGCTGGTCTGATGCTCCTCAGCATTCGAGAGCACAGATTTGATGATGGACGAGGTCTCTTCAAGCTTTGTTAAATCACTTTCAAGAACCTATGACAAGCTCAGTTCTCTGTAAGCAAGAGACCCTATCCTCAACAAAAAGTTAGCTGCAATTTCACCCAGAAATGATTCTGCCATAGCTTCTTTTGTGACAAAGCGACGAGAAGAATAGAGATACTTTTCTCAACTACACTAGTGAGTTGACGTTGACCACAAACATTGATCCCATAAGATTGGTTGGAAAGAAGTGAAATTAAAAAAAAAAGAATCAGCAGTGCTGGGATTACCTGTAGATGAACAAATATATTAAATATAACTAAACGACATTTGTTTTTGGCCAAGCCTAATTGTTATGAACTTAAGCGTGCAGATACAAGACTGTAATTCATAGCACCATAAACAAAATAAATATTTCTAAAAGTATAACCCATAATTCCCAGATCATATACATAAAGGAAAAATGAATTACATTGAACCCAAATATACATATCATGATATAAAGCAAATCTAATTCACCCTTCACCTTCAATTTCCATAATTTTATATACACTGGAGCAGCCTATGATAGCACTAACCACAATAATTGACATTCCTTTTTTTTTTTTTTTTTTTTTTTTTTTTTTTTTTTTTTTTTTTTTTTTTTTTTTTTAATTTCTACTATCATACATGTTCTGTATCATTTTCTCACATATTAGTGTGCAGCGCAATTTAAGAATGAAGAACATTTATGATACTTACAGATACAAATGTGACTCCATAGAACTTTGATTTAGAGAACATAGCTTTCTACAGGATGATATCACTTGGGATTCTCTCATCTGTTTTTGGATGGTAAGAAATAATCAGCAATGGAAGAACCTCGTTTCACTATATTAGGTCGCTTATGTGGCCGGAGCCAGGCTCGGATTTCATCTTGGATTTGTGGGGGTAATTCATCAATCACAGTGGGGTCAATCTCTTCAATCCTGTAATTCCATGCTTCACTTGTTTGTCGAATTTGATCTGAACTGGACCTGCCACTGTTTGTTGCGGTCTCCGGTAAAAAACTCTCTATTGGCTCCTGAACTTGAATCAATTTTGAACAGCAATCGCCTTTGAATTGAAAAGTGCACCAGATTAAGCACCTGGGAGTGAAAAAAGAATACCTAAATATAACTTAGAAGTGGGATCATATACCTACTGTAGCTTTAGCATTTTGAGAAGTTTCAACATGCTCCTGCTTCCATGATGAGCAAGAAGGATTCTGGCTCTTAAAGAAATTCAAGATTGAAGATGTTCCCTAACACACCATAACCAAAAAAACAGTAAGCAATTATCTCCAAAATCCAAAAAAATTCCTAATAGTTGGTCCTAACTTGAACAGCAAGGTCACTTTTAATTAGTTCCCTTCTCATTTTCTAATTTATTTTTAATTCAGCCCTGCTTTATGTAAAGCAGGCTACATATATATAACTTTTACAATCAATTCATACTCACAAATTTGCATCACAACAAAAGGGCCCAAGATTCTCAGCATCTATACTACCATTATTCCTCATGCCTCCAAGTAAGATTTGTTTATAAAAGCTATTAGTAAGAACATTTTGCCCATCTGGAATTTCCGCAAATTCATCTAACTTCTGCCAATAATAATACTCAAATCTTTCTAACTCTTATATATTTTATCAATGGCAGATATCAAAGATCTTCCATCTTCAAAATCCACATGTTTAATTACATAAGTTTTATCCATAATTAAACTTGGCACAAATGCCTCTGTTACCCACAACAACTAATGACCAAAAGCATTCCACATTCTGGAATGAATATTCAAGTAATAAATTGTTACAAATTTGAGCAATTTTTGGCAACCTGGATTATGACTAACTTCATAAACCAACATTAAACAGTCATTACAGACAAAAATCACATTATTTGTCCAATAACCACAAAAACAACAATCAAATTCCCAAACACCATCAATTTTATGAATCAAAATATTGAAACTTGAAAAGAAATTTTCATCGAACACAAAATCTTTACTAGATAGTACACACATGATAGCAGTATGATATAATAAATAGCAATGAATGTAGAGAAAACAGAAGAAAACGGTTGAACCTTGTCTTTCAAAGCATTTCTCTTTTGTTCCTGCTGCTTCAAATTAGTCATGATAGGTTTAATCCTGGAGTCATCAGAATGAACCTGATCCCTCTGTTGCTTACTTTGGTTCAGTCCTGAAAAGCTTTCACTTCCTAAATGAGCAGTTAGCCTTGATTACAATGAAACTAAAATCTAACAAGGTAAGTGGGAGAGTTATGAGCAATGGTAAATAAGTTACTACCTGAGCAAGAGAATGGTGAAACTTCTGGGGTGAAGCTACATGATGCCTGCTGTATACTGGAGCAAGATTGATCCTACACAGACCAAGAATCTCACATTAGAATCAGACAATAAGAATGATGAACTTATTGTGGTTTCTTGATCTTTCTTTTGTCCTGTTTTTTAAACAAAGTCTGAAGCTTCAAATCCTGATGACAAGTAGCATGGGGGCATTCTCTTTAAATATTTATGGGGACAAAATATTGGATTAAGACGGCAAAATGTATAGATAAAGTGCCAAACTTTTGTTCTGGTCATTTCTGATTTGACCTTCAATAGACTGAAGCAGGCCTTCCAAATAGCATATAAGTTCATAAATTTTTTTACAAAATCCAACTAACAGTTGTATATGAGACAGAAGAACCTCAACAACATATTAACATCATAGAAGCTGTTCTCACTTCTTGTTGACCCAAACCAGCCACAGAAAGTTTCATTCGCACTTCTTCACTAGGGAACTTGACTTGTGGTTCAGTTGGATTCAGTTCTGAATAGCTTTCACTGCCTGAATGAAAAGGACTTATTAGGAACTGAACAACAAATGATATAGAAATGACAGTCATTAGAATTAAAAACACCTGAAGGTGACAACAGTGCGATATTTCCAGCAAAGGTATCAGGTAATTGCTTTAAAGAAGAATCAGATGCATCTTGGCCATGGAAATATTTCGTGATTGAACATGTTCCCTATCAGAGGTATTTTCACAATAAGATGCAATGTATCAAAATTATTATCAAAGAAAATCTAAGGGGAATACATGATAATCAATCGAAGTTCTATTCATATCAGTAGATATGTTATTGAACTCATTTTAGGAGAAATTTTAATAAGATATTCTTTCACAAATTCTAAGTAAATATTCCACAATGAGAATCACCTACCAGTAGACAACAATTAATTAGTCGGTGGACTCACATCCTTATGAAAAGACTAAATTGAAAAGGAATGAGAAAGGGCAGCAAAACATTATCATATATGATAATCTCTCTAAAGATCATGGGTACAGCAATTTCAGACCATCTCAGTTATTCAGAATAGACTCCTATTGATCACAATTGGACAGCAAAGTACCGGAAATCATAAGGATGTCAAGGAAACATAAAGGTTCTATGAGATATTACAGATAAATTAATTTTGTACTTACAGACAATGTAGGAACAATTTTACTTGCTGAAACAGAAAGAGCTGTTACTCCCCATCCATTGTAATGACTTCCTTGAGTTTTAACTCCATATGAGCCTAAATATTCACGTAATCCAGCTTGAAATAGGTTAAAAGCATCGTCTTGAATCTTGGCAGTCCCATACCTTAAAGGGCAAGACTTTGAAGGGAACTTTTTAAGAGAATCTGTATCACTTGACTGCAGGACAACTTATAATCAGGACAGCGACATACAAGAAGTAACAATCAGATAGAATTTCTGAAGGAAGCTGTGATAATTGAGATCAGTTAAAATATAAATCAGGAAGGACATGTTACCCTGAATGCACTCACATGCAGTGTGAGTGTGCGTGCAATCCGCTTGTTTTGCTCNGTTTCCATTCGATTTATGCATCTCGATTTCCACTTTCTATGTGTTGCTCAGTCTTCTATAGGTGTTGAAATGAAATGAGTCAATTCTCAAGTAAATTTTTTTGTGTTCCAACTCATGTGTTCTGTTTCTCCGCTTGCATATTTTAGAAATATTCTATATGTATGATGATTTGCCAATAATGCTTGATTTATCTATAGAGTTTCTTCTTTGCCTGAAAGAAGAGTATGTTAGATACTCTCTAATGTGGAGACATTTGCTTGAAAAGCTAAAAGCAATATATGATTAGTAAAACTTTGTGTTGTTGTAATTTTTATCTGCAGAGGTTTTGGGTTTGAATTTTGTGTCATTCCGATTTCCGAAGAGGAAAAAAAAAATTGAGTATAAACTCTTTTGTTCCGATTTCTGGTTCAGAATTTATTAAGGCCGAGAAGTTACCAAAGTCTTTAAATTTATTGGATTATAGGGTTAAAGAGATAAGTAAATCATATGAAATTGAATCAGCATTTGAAAAGCTTGACTTTGCAAAAAGTGATATATTCTACGTCTCTAGGTGAGAAGGATGCCAAGTTTGCAGTTATGGTAAGATGTGGTGGTGAAAAAGAACTGGCAATGTACTGGAAATCATAAGGATGTCAAGGAAACAAAAAGGTCCTATGATATATCACAGCTAAATTTATTCTGTACTTACAGACAAATGTAGGAACAATTTTACTTGCTGAAACAGAAAGAGTTTTATTCCCCGTCCATTGTAATGAGTTCCTTGAGTTTTAACTCCATATCAGCCTAAATATTCACGTAATCCAGCTTAACCCTAAAAACTCAAGATCTTAGGAAAAGGACCTAATAATACTGTTTAAACTCTAACAAAAAGAAACAGAAATAAATTGGCTATAACCTCATAAATTTTTAATTATTTAGCAACAGAGTTATTAAAACTAAAAATAATATGACAAATGGAAAAAGTAGCTGAGTTTTAAGTCAACTAAGAAGCAACATTTACACAAGACAAATTGCACATCTGGGAAAAAAAATTGTTATGCTTATGATCTCATTATTGAAAATAAACCAAAGTAAGGACTGCTGAACCTTATTATGAGCAACAACAGCGGAACAGATAAATTCAATCTCCTTCAAAACCTGCTTCCTAAGCTCTGCAACAATGAGGGCCCCACAAGCTAATAATTTATCACGGTGATCAGGCTCACTTCTACATAGGCACTCCCTCACATTTGATTTGGCATCAACTCCATCCTGAACTCAATGCCAGATCCAATATAACAGTTGTAGATAATATACAAAGTTAACAGGAAAAATAAAAAAGGAAAGAACAAAGAAGGAAAAAAATGCAGTTCACAAAATGAGCGTTCTCATGTCTAATGAAATCTTAAAAATTTTCCGAAGAGACATTGTTATGAAATACACAGAATAGTGATTCCCAAATTGAATTTGTGAATAAGTTAAAAAAGAAATGATTAAAAAAAAATTAATTAAAAAAAAGGTCTTTGACTCTTGGGCTTGGGATTGCAGAAACAGATATAAGAAAAGTATAAATTTCTCTTATTTATTTTCTGTTGAGTTTATAGAGAAAAGAAACTGGCCAAACAAATTCCTAAGTATTCCCTAAGGGCTAATGAGAAATTCTACCTCATAGTAGGTGAGATCTAAGGCAAAAGTTCAGTGGCATTGACAAAAGAGAGACAGTGTGATTTCACCAATTTCTGCCAAAATTTTGATATCCATGTAAAGCATAAGTAGATGACTTCAGCCACTGCTAGAAAATCATATATGTGGAACAATAGTGACTCTCCATGTACCAGCCCCTGGGGCACAATAAAAAATAAACTAGAACAAAATTAATTTTTTTTTTATTATGTACTGTTTCTGGGTCCACATTCTAAACCTTTAGATATTGAACAGAGGGTGAATCCCCACCGCCCTCCATATATGTAAACAGGTATCAACTAGAGTGCAGAGTTGTCACTAAACAATTTATGCAAAAAGCAAAGAGTTTTAGAGTTCAAATGATTAATGAACAGCTTGGTGGTTTTTAACCATTCTGCTTTGACACATTTTCATTGAAACTACATGTAAGGACCAGTATTTAGCTGTCATCAAGTTTATTCAATTATGCATCATAGTCTGAGCATTCAAGTAATATTACAGAAAATTAAAAAGCAGTATCATGTACCCCACTTCCAAGCCCCAATATGTGTGATTTAAGAGCTTCCTCATCTACTACTTCCAAGCTCTCTGGAGGAGTTTCTGCTAGCATAGCTTCTGCAGCATCAGTAAGGTCAAGATACACTTCATCAATGGAAGCCCTTTCACAATGACCCTTCCTTGCAAGAATGGATACTACCTGCAAATTTGATAGAAGTATGCATAAGATAACTTTCAATAAAATTTAATGATCCATTCAAAATGTATTTTAAATCCATACACCTCTCAACCTGCATTGCGGTATGTACTGAGATCAGCTTTACCACGGGCTACAAGGACTTGGACTAGCTCAATTTGTGGAAAAACTGCCTTTGCCTCATCACCTCTCATTGAACTGAAAATCATGGATAAGATATTTAAACCTAATGCATTTCTGCAAAAGACTTTGTTACAAATAAAAAGATCCTTAGCTAATAGCAATCAGGGCCCCACCTTTCCACTCATTGACTGCAACACAGCCGTAGGCAAACCCCTTGAATGTGGTTGCTTTCTCTGCTCCAAAGCATTGAAAATTATATCACATTTTCAGAACAGAACAAACTACAGCATAACTAAAGCAAAGCATGTAAAGAGAAAGACATATAAGTCTTCAACAGAGCATTTTACAGAAAATAAAGTGAATCATCATTATTTGAATCAAAAGAAAACAAACACACCTTCAATAACACTATCACTAGCAATTCTTACCTTGGTTAATTTAACAAATTAATTAATGCGAGTCAAATATAATGAAGGTTTCGCTAGTTCATGGATTTCATGCCATCCACAATTCTCAAGCTTCAAAAACTAGTCTATTTTTCCAATTATTCAACCATCACTAGCGTTGTTTCACAGTATCAACTTTCTTCTTTTTCTCGTCGACAAATCTCAGTTCACCAACAAAGTTAAATTCAAGCACAAATACGCAACGAAATCGCAAATATTGTCCAAAATTTTACTCATAATGCTTTAATTTTTCTCATAACAACGAAATTATTCTCTAAAATTCATCAAATGTTCTTCGAACTCAAAACAAACAATGATTTTCTCCATTATACATACATTTAACTACACACACTTAAAAAGAGAGAGAGAGAGAGAGAGAGAGAGGGAGAATCGGTAGGACCTTGAACGTAGAGGCAGTCCATGTCGACGTGAGCGATGATCCTGGCATCAAAGATTGTGGTTTCGCCGCTGGCATTGCTTTTCCCTCCAACCTCTAAGACGAAATAAAGCGAGAGAAGACACTCTTGTTGTGTTTTATGATTTATGAAGGGTAATTTACAAGTACCTCCTCTACAGTTGAGAAAGTATTAACTTTACCCCAGAGTTTTTCAGTTTCTCTCTTTAAATGTGAGAATTAATAATTAGTAAAGAAGTTAATATAGACGAAATTATACCCAAAAAAAAAAAAAAATTCAAATAAAATGAATTCTATTAACATCACTAATAATTTTAAAAATCAAATTAATTTTCAATGGAGATTAATTAAAACAAAGTTTTGTTAATAACCAATTTTGAAATTTTTATTATTTATAATGCAAGATCTTCAATATTCATTAACTTTTTAATACAAATTGAAAAATTCTTGAAAAATACCAACAATTGTTATGCTATTCATAAAAAATATAAAGTACGTTATAAATAATTAATTTAGATTAAAAAAATAAGTGTATTAATATTCAACATTTTTTTTTTCAAGTAAAGTAAGAAATGAAAAGGGAAAAAGAAAACAAAAACAAAAACCATAATGAAAAATTCCTAAGTAATTTCTTAAATAAATGAACAAATAACGTTACAATTTCAATTGACAATTAATGTTTAATTAGCGTTTTTCAATCTCTTAAGTACATGTTTTCTTGATACTGGATTGTGAAAAGATGAAAAATACCCTTTAATTATTTGACTTTATAAATTTTTTATTATTTTTTAATTAGCCAAAAAGTAAAATATTAAAAAGTCAAAAAAGAAAAAATAGTTAATCCCATCTAAAAAGTCAACTGTAATGCTATAAAATTGTTAAATGTTAAATGACTTTGATATTTATTTATTTATAATATCATCAATATCTCATCACTATTATTCAATAACCTACTAAATTTATAATGTTTTTCATAATATAATGATTTTCATTTTTACTAATTAATATAGAAAATTAATATTCCTAATTAATTAAATAAAATAAAAATAAAAAAAGATAACTTTTACATTTGAACTAAGAAATAATCGAATAAAATTTTTGACTTAATTAAATTTTAATTTATAATAAACTAATTAAAAAATAATTTATTTAAGTGTATTTTTATCATTTCAATCAAATATTAACAAAAAAACACTAACAAAATCTAACAAAGGCTTAAAACGGGTGGGAAAGTGTCGTTTAGCTAAACTTTGGGTGGGAAAATGTCATTCTTGCTAATTATTCACTCCATTAATTGTGACTATTTGCATTACCAACTTTATAATTTCCAGGAGTTTGTTTGGTTTCACGAGAACAATTATTATCTCCATTAACTTTGTGACTATTTGTATTACCATTAGTGTTGAATTATGACTATATATAATCTTCCTTGAATCACCATTCTCTCAATTTACTGCTTGCATTTTGCTTTTCTTCTTCTTCTTCCTCTTTAGCAATTTGCAGCCATGGACACAATCACTCCCGATTGGACCAGACTTCCTCGAGACCTCCTCACCTCAATAGCAACACGTCTCCACACACGAATCGACATTCTTCGTTTTCGTGCCGTTTGTTGCTCATTTCGATGCAAACTTCCTCATCCTCCAAAAGTCATGTTCCCAGAATCCATTTTAAGAACGACTGACTTCCTCAAAGGTCCCCATCCTGACAATGAAGACCCCTTTGTTCTCACGGAGTGTACTGTTTACGCCATACAGCCCCTTGACGACGAAACGTCTCCAACATGGTTGGTCCAAGTCCAAGAGTCAACTTCAGGTAAAGTCCGAATAAAGGATTCCCTCTCTGGATTTCATTTTAAAAGCTTGGAAAACAAGTCTTTGAACTTGTTGGATTATAGGGTCAAGGAAATAAGTAAATCATACGTTTTTGAATCGGCTGCTATCCGTGAAGATAAAGTCAAACTCTATGATAGATATGGCTCTTATAAGATGTCCTCAGAAGAATCTTCTGTTGTTGCAAAAGTGGTTTTTTCTTCTTTTCTTGATGAGACCGTTGATGGGTTTGTTGTCATGGCGAAATTTAGAGATAAAGAGCTAAGTGTGTGGAGAAATGTAGACAAGAAATGGACTAATATTAACATAGACCTTAGGTTTCGTGAGGGTATTCTAGATATGGTTTATCGTAATCACAAGTTCTACACTGTCAACCACCTGTATTCTACTGTAATTGTGGATTCTAAATCTTTGACTGTTGTGGAGGTCCAGTACCCAGGAGGTCTGGAAGGTCTGTCGTATCTGTGCTTGGTGGATTTGTCAAATGAGTTACTTTTGATTGCCTCGTACGATCGGGCCTTTGAAGGTTATTTTATAGTCTTTAAGCTTGATGAAGAGAATCATGAGTGGGTTCGGGTGACAGTTGGATTGGAGGATAGCGTGTTTTTTTGGGTGGACCTTTATAATCTGTTGTGTCCGTTTTCTAGGTATGACGGTATTAATTTCAAATATGAAGATGTTGATCCATTTGGTCCATTTGTTAAGATTTTTAACTTAAAGGATCATTATTCTTCTGAGAGAATTGCATATTTTCCTAACCCTCTCTGGTATTCATCAGCTAGGTTACTTTGAAAGTGAATTCCTGCTCAGAGTCTCAGACTCAGCTGCAACGTCTCAACCATGGTTGGTCCAAGTCGAAGAGTTGAATTCGGGCGATTATTCTTCAAGGATTTTTTTGCTTGACGAAGAGAAACATATGTGGGGCTCCAGTTGTTGATGGATCGCAGTTTTGCATGGTAATGCTTTTTTTTTTTTTTTTTTTCAATGCTACATGATCATTTTCTTATAACTTATGAATCAGAGGCAAGAGCCAATGGCGGCTCTCATTGTTATCAATTTGACTGTAAATTATTTGCATTAAGCATGAGAAATTCTATGTCTGGAATTGCTTAAAAAATACTATTTATTTAAAAGAGATCTATGAAAAATTCTTGAAAAATACCAACAATTGTTATCCTATTCATAAAAAAAATATATATAATTAATTTAGAGTAAAAAAATAACGGTATTAATATTAAACATTTTTTTTTTCAAGTAAAGTAATTTCTTGCTAACTACCCCTAAAAGAAAACAAAATAACAATAAAAATGAATAATTCCTAAGTAATTTCTTAAATAAAAAAATAAAAATAATAACAATATAAAATGATTTTCAGGAAGGAGGTAAATTATTAACTACCCCTAAAAGGTCCAAAATTATTATGTGTCGGACCCCTTCGTCCTCACCGAGTCTAATCTTCACGCCATCCAGCCCTTTGACGACGAAAATACATAATATGTAAAGGAATATGTGTTGATCAGTTTATAAAACCCAGAGGAAAGTGTTTGGATTGTTAACTTAAAAAGATGGCAAGGGTGGAAAACTCCCAGATTTTCTTGACTGTTTTTGCCAATCATTATCTCGGTTAACCTGCATTCCTGCTGAGCTGGTTGTCTTTAAATAACTTTAAGTGGGCATTGTCCTCTGACTCCTCTCCATGGGTGAGCGTTCATCTGTTTCTTCTCCGTCACTTCATTGGTGGGAATATCCCACCAACATGACCTAGTTTTGTTTGAATTTTCGGCTGCTGCATAATTTTTCTTTTTTTAAACTCGGTAAAGAGTACATGATTAGTAAAGGCTGATGTGTATATGCATCCATGCATGGGTCGCGAGTGTGGTGATAGCTGGATGTGTAACGACGCCAGTTTTGCATGGTAATGGGGGTTTTTCAATGCTGAGGTTGGTATAATGTTCGGTGAGATTAACTGGCATCGGTGTACAACTCGATGCTACATGATTATTTTCTTGTAACTTTTAAATCACAAGCAAGAGCCAATGGCGGCTGACATTGTTATTAATGGATTAAAATTTTGATTCCATAATTATGAATTTGACTGTAAGTGGTGTGTGAAATTTTGATTCCATAATTATGAGATACTATTTCAGCAAACCTTAAGCTTCTCTTCGTTTTACTCTTCTTCTTTCTCCACTTCTTCCTTTGCAATGGCGAGACTCGAACCGACTGTAGCAGAATTTCTGAAGACCTCCTCTTCTCCATCGTTAAACTTCTCCCAGCACGAATCGATATCCTCCGTTTGCACGCCGTTTGTCGCTCATTATTTATCATAATCACAAGTTTTATGCTTTGTCTTCCAAGGGGCGTACTGTGACTGTGGATTCTAAAACTTTGGTTGTCACCCAAATTGCAGAGCTACAGTTGTGTTCGGAACTTTCAATGCTATACTTGGTAGGATCAATTAATGATTTGTTTCTAATTAAACAGCTCAAGGAGGACATTGTTATTGATTATAAGTATTATGTCGAGGTTTTTAAGCTTAATGAAGAAAAAGGGGAGTGGGTTCAAGGAGGACATTGGTATTGATTATAAGTATAGGAAGATAAAGTGTTGTTTGTGGGTGAAAGTAGTAGTTTTGGTTAAAGAATTGTGAAGATGTAAAGGAGGTTGCGTTTATTATGTAGCCGATACCTCATATGATGATGATGGTTACTTGGATTTGGGACTTCAAAGATGGTGTATCTTGGCATCTCTCAGATTTGGTTAAAGTGTTTCTTTGTTCTAGTTGTTTAAATTTCAATTGAAAATGTATCTTCACTACCACTTTCTTTGCGTGGCTCTATCTTCACAGCTTCCGAAAAGAAATGAAATTAATCAATTTTCAAGTAAATTTTGTATGTTTTGATGTCCTCTGTTTCTGATTTTTTCCACTTGCAGATTTTAGAAATATGAATATTGGTTAATATTTTCAAGAGCTCATTAAGTTGATAATATATTGATTGAACATGGTGTTCGTTATTTTACATTATCTTCTCCATTTGCATCCCGATGCTTTATTCATGCTCAATATGATCTTTCATTTGGTTCTTTTGTTTTTGTACATTGGAGTCTGTGGACCTTAAAGTTGAATTACTGGAGTTCTGGAAGCTCTCTCCCAACTTCATCCTTATAATTTACAAGAATTACAATATGTTAAATTATGAATGTTAATGCATCAAGAGTTAAGTTCTATAGATAGATAATAAAATTGCTTGTGATGCTTGATATATCTATAGAGTTCTTCTCTACCCGAAGAAAAGAGCATATTAGATATTCTCAAATACGGAGACATTCACTTAAATGCAAAAAAGAATGCATGATTAGTACTTTCAACGCATAAACAAGAAAGCTAAATTTTTATTTTTGTAATTCTTATCTATAAACTTTTTGGTCTAAATACTACATCATTTGGAAGAGAGAATGCCTGATGTGAGGGTTAACTCTTGAATCAAAGTAAATTGTGTTGCGAAATGGATGTGGTGCATAACACTGATATGTGATCTGAAATTCACATTTGTGAGGGTTAATTTGTTGAGGTATTTAAGCTTTTTAAAGAGAGACGAAAGTGGTTTCGGGTGAAGGATGGATTAGGATTGGAAGATAGAATGTTGTTTGTGGGAGAAATTTGTTGTCCATATTCTGTATCGGTTAAGGAGTTCCCGAGCTTTAAAGAGGGCTGTGTTAATTATGCCGGTGATACAGATGATGGTTATCCGGTGCAAGGTACGTGGATTTCTGACTTAAAGAATGGTGCAGTCAGGCGCCTCCCGAAATTTCCAGGCTATTTAAGCGTTTTCTGGCCTCCACCAGCTTGGTTAATGTAAGTTTTTCTTCCTTCTACTTGTTTCGATTTCAATTGAAAATGTATCTTGATAAATTTCCTGTGTCTCAAGGTGCTCTGTTTCCAAAATTCTTTGCTTGCAGATTTTAGAAATTGAATACTTGTTACAAATCTCAAGAGCTGACTAAGTCCGATAGTTTAATTTTTTTAACATGGTGTTCTTTGTTTTTCATTATCATCTCTATATGCATCTTGGTAACTTTTTCAAGCTTAATATCATCTTTTATTTTGTTCTTTTTTGTTACTATGATAGGATCTGCAGACCTTGAAGTTTTATTTCAGAAGTTATGGAAGTTCTCGCGCAACTCCGTGTGAAGCTTAATGCATCTAGAGTTTCTCCTCTACCTCAAGATCAAAAAGAAGAGTATATTAGATATTCTCAAATATGGACATTCACCAAAGAGCTAAAAAGAATGCATGATTAGTACTTTCACAAGAATGTAAAATTTTTGTGTTTTTGTAATTCTTACCTGTATTCTGCATCCTTTGGAAGAGAGAATGGCTAATGTGTATATGTTATATGGTATTTAACTTCAGAAGCTTGAAATGGTGAATGAACGCCATGATTTATGTATCATACTTGTTTGCATACAATTATTGTATATATTAATTTCATGGAAATTAATTCTACTCTTTAGTCATTTACATGGAAAGAAAAAGTTTCCGAAAATTGGATAATTTATCTTAACATCCGTTAGGTTTCAACAATTACATACGTGTACCATGACTTTCTCAAAAGTTAAGCCAACCTTGTCCTTGAAGTAATGGACTGCGATTGGAGTATACTTCTTGAAGACCTCATTTTCTCCATCATAGAACTTCTCTCCACAAGAATTGATATCCTTCGCTTACGAGCTGTTTGTTGCTCATTTGGCTCCACAATTCCTCTTCCTCCATTGGAATACAAACTAAAACTAATGTATACAAACTCACTATTTATTAGTTGACATGTTATTTACCTGAGAAATACTACAAAGAGTCTTTGTACAAAATGATGTGACAGCTCCTATACCACTAGTTTCATATCAATCTTCTTTTTCTTTTTACAAACTAGTAGTGTGATAACTGCCACATCATTTTGTACAAAGACTTTTTGTACATGTAACATTTTTCTATTCACCTTTATTTTTTGAGTACTAAAGTTGATTTTTTGCATGTATTCGTTAATCGTTAGATTCAATTTAGAGTAATATTACGTACAAATCTTTCTCACTAACTTTTTCTCACAAAAACAATATAGTTGCTCGTAATTAGTCCTGTTTATCCAATAATGGATTCCACTAACCAATTGCAAGCTACTACGTCATGTTTATGAGAGAAAGTTAGTGAGAAGGATTTATCACCCTATCTTTATTATTAAATTTATAACACATTGACTTGTATAAAAAAGTTTGTACATTCTAAGTTTTCAAAAAAGAAAAAATCTTCTTAAAACGCCTTAGTTCTGAGCAATTACGTATGAGTGACAAGTTTGCAAATTTTTAAAGACACCCCGGAGTTTCTCAAAACTTAAACCCCATCCCATCAAGATTCAAGAAAAGTTAAAACATTTATCTTGCCTTCAGTCTTCATCTTCCTCCATCAAGATTCAAGAAAAGCTAAACATTTATCTTTCCTTCGGTCTTCGTCCTGCTTCTTCTTTGCCATGGCAAGAATCGGACCCGATTGGAGCACACTTCCTGAAGAACTCCTCTTCTCCATTGTAAAACTTCTCCCTACACGAATCGATATCCTCCGTTGGCGCGCCGTTTGTCGCTCATTTCGCGCCACAATTCCTCATCCTCCAATACAATACCCATTCCCACACTCTATTCTAACCTCCAAAGACTTCCTCAAAGGCCCAAACCCTAAAGAAAATGACGTCTTTACTCTCATGGTGTCCACTGTTTACGCCGTCGAACCCCTCAATAAAGTC